GTATATGTGTATGGCGTATACGAGTTCGCGTCGGCGCGGGCTTATATTGGAAGTCCCGGGACTGATCGTATGCGCGTTATTGTAGTAGCCGCGGTGTAGCGTGGGTGTATGACCGTTGGAGAAAGTGACTTGTGTGCGTGTGCTATGTATATGAGTACGGCGTATATGAGTTGCGTCGGCGCGGGCTTCTATTGTAGGGCCCGGCACGGAGTGTACGCGTGTTATTGTAGTAGCCGCGGTGTAGCGTGGGTGTATGACTGTTGGCGAGAGCGACTCGTGGGTGTCTGCTAAGTATATGAATACGGCGTATATGAGTTCGCGTCGGCGCGGGCTTGTATTGTAAGTCCCGGGACGGAATGTATACGTGTTACTGTAGTAGACGCGGTGTAGCGTGAGTGTATGATTGTTGGCGAGAGGGACTCGTGTGCGTCTGCTAGGTATATGTGTACGGCGTATATCTCTTTGTGTCGGCGCGGGCTTATATTGGAAGTCCCGGGACTGAGTATACTTCTGCTGTTGTAGCAGCCGCCGCACACACACAACAGGCAACGAGTCACGGCTCTCCGGTGTTATGAAAACACCTGTATACCTGTCAAGCACACGTGCTTGACGGGTGTCCGCTATTTTAGCGCTAGTTTCGCTTTGTTTTAAAGCGAAACTGTCGAACTTGTTTTAAGTTCTTTTTGCCGTGAGTTATTCACGGGCTCGCAGAGGAAGAAAAAGGAATTCAAACACATACGTTATGTTGTATAACGCCTCCGTGGGCCGTGTTGTACAGCTGGAGAGTTTGAGAGAGTAGCAGACGAGCTTGTTTTAAGCTCTTTGCCATGAGTTGTTCATGGGCTTGCAGAGTAGAGAAGTGAAGGAAGGAAAATGAATTTTTGAACTTACTCGTTATGTTTTATAACGGCTCCGTGTGCTGTGTTTTACAACTGGAGGTTCAAGGGAGAATGCGAGGTCTGTTGGTTTGTTCATCGGCTTTTTATACTCTCAGAATCTCTATTGTTTTAGGTGGGCTAAGTACATGCTGGAATTTGATTTGACCTAAGGTCGTAAAATTTACGAGTGGGCTGAACAAACCAACCGTCCTCGGATTCTCGATCTTTCTACGTCCCACGGGCCAAATCTTTATTATAAAATATTAGACATAATTGTTGACAAAAGTGTGATACAGTGAATTGTTTAAAATCAGTGAGTTGAGACGAGTGCAACGATACCAAACAGTGCATATTTACGATGACTCAGTGTTCGTTCGTGAAGTGCTATTGATTTCATTATTATTTAATTAATTGATAGATTACTTGAGTTTGATATCTGTGGTATAGTGACAATTGTTATTGTTTGATATTCTTGCACTCGGCTTAAAGCTTAATGTAATGTTGTGTTTGTAAATAATCATTTTGAGTCGTTAATACAGACACGTGTAGTTATACTTCTATGGAGTTATTTTCTATTTAATTGACATCATTGAGTTATAATAAAAATTGAATTCATTAAACATAATAATTAATATAAGAATAATTAATCATTTGTTAAAATGAGATTCGTTAATCGGGTCGGTAACTTAGGAACTCTATGATCTAGGATTGATATTTTTCTAATGCGGGTAATGGAGCGCTTATCGATCGATCATGATTGTAGGCGGGTAAGAAAAAAAAACATATGGTATCAGTGGCGGTGCTGGACGTCACACAACAAAATTATTCATTTAGTTCGATACATACCTTGTGTATAGATGTGCATAGAAATAATGTGTAACGTGTGCAGTTTCAGCAACGCTGACATTGCAATTATTACATTATAGACTACTTGCTGTACGTGGTATAAACACGACATTCGATACCGACTCGGTAAAGAGGAAGAGAGCGTCGATGCGTATTTGCGTGCGATTGCATCGCGGACGCGGCGACTGAATGCTTCACAATTCGCAAAAAAAAAAAAAAAAAATTATCAAGCGTAAGCGCGAAACAAGTCGATGTTCTTCGAACTTAATAAACTACAAAGCACGTAATGGATCCGAGGTTGAAACGAAAATCAGGATTACTCGCTCGTTCGATTGTAAAGATCGCGAGCATCATCGGTTTAAATATAAACTCTATCGCATCTGCATTTAAAAACGACTTTACGCGCCGATTCTCGTTTCTATATTGCGTATATAGCGCGAGAGAGAAGTACGACTTTCGGATGACAACAACAGGTGTCCCCCGCGCTCGCGAGCGTGAGAAGTGGGTGCAGTATTTAAAAGTATAGTGTAGTGTCGAGAGAGAAAAAAAAAGTTGAAGAAGAGGAAAGAGAGAAACGGAGAGACACGGACACGTGTTTTATGTATCGCGGATTACATCGAGCCGAGCTTTGCTGTCGCTGCGCGGAAAATAAAGTCGCGGAATTGTGATATACATTTAATGCGCGCCGCTGCAAAGTCAAGGTCCGCGGACGCGCACGAGTATCGTATATAGTTCGAGTGCGCGCGCGCGTGTTGTTTTTATTTTGTTGTTATACTCTATTGTTGCAACTCATCGAGACGCAGAAAATTTTTGTTTCAAATGGCATAGTTTTTTTTTTGGTTTTTAGAACGATCGAAAGCGGGGCACACACGCGCATGATTCACGTTCGTTCTTTTCTATGCAAATCGCGTTCGTTCTTTCTTTTTTTGCTGTTGTTTTTTTCCTTCGCACACGGCTCGCGAGTAAATACCAAACTCGAATTCGATCGCGCGATCGCGAGCTAATACAATGTTATAGTTCAAGAAAAGAAAGAGAGAGAGAAAAAAAGTAGAGCGGAAAATCTGAAATCGGTCGACGATTAATAAATTATGCATACGCGCGCGGGGTCTTTGCGCAATTATACACATACGTCTAAGCGCGGCGAAAAACGTGCACCAATGCTCCTGCTATGGATATTTTAACGACTCGCTGCCAATTGAATTAACGCCGAGAGATCTTTCTTTCTCCGCGCTGGCTGCAAATTATGACCGGAAGTCGGTTAGTCCTTTGCTTTCTTATAAACGCTGCATTTATTTTTCTCCGTTGCATATACGTAAGCTGCAGAGTTATTAAAAAAATACATCACAGTCGAAGTTTTCGTCGTCGAGAGTCGATAAAATAATTTATAAACGGGTGTATAAGTGTATACACCTTATCTCCCTCGAGAGAGAAAGAGATTGAAGTTTTTTTCGTCGTACTTAGATTATCGCGTGCCAATGTATAGTGTATTACAAGAGCTCGTGTGGCACTCGCAGATCAGCAGCGGTGGCACAGCTGTGCGCGTCGTGTTTAATTTTGTTTTTCAGCCCGAGCACCGAAGTTCAACGGCTTCCGATAAGCACGAAATCCTTTGTTTCGGGAGATAAGACGCGAATTTTTTTCACTTTTTTTTTTTCATAATTTCGTCATTCCTCCGTTTGTAGATCGTGCCCTACGATAATGTTATAATCGTTATACATCGAACGCAATTGAAAAATCGAGATATATATAGCGCTGCTCTTTCGTTGGCCGCGTTTCTCTCTCTCTTTTGGTTCATTATACGAGGCAGAAGCAGCAGCAGCCGGCAGACCATAAGATGCAGTTTAATTTTAAAACGCATCTCGGACGAGATTTTGCATGTGCCTCTTGCACACGTTTGCAAGAGGGCCAGCAACGGGGTGTCGACTCTCTTCTTTCTGGCGAGACGGAGCTATGCTATAGTTATTGTTGTTTTTTTTTCGCCTCTGTGAGCAATTACATAAAGGTTCAGAACTTTGGTCAATATCGTTTCTCGAGCGGCCTCTCACCGCTACTGTGTATATCGTGTGTAAGAAACGAAAGTATAACAATAATAATTCGCAAAAGAATAGCTAGAACCTCGATGCCGCAGCCGCGGAAAATCATAACGCCGTGACTTATGCTGCGCCGCCGCCACCACCACCGCTGGACTTTCTAACGTCTATTCGGACTCTCCACTTGCGATGCTATTTTTTTTTTTTTTTTTACGTGGAAATGCACCTGTAGTATATAGTCTACGAGAAACCAATGTACCTCACTGCGACGACGTAAAACGTACGTGTCTGCGCTCGAGAAATATGACAAAACACGACGACGACGACGACAGCCTACGACGTTGATATGCACACAAACGCGTCCTCATCTCCGGTCGAATTAATCGTCCATCTCTTGCTCTCGGTACGTTACGTAGTGACGTTTATGTGTGTATCGTCGGGCTACTATTGGAGGCGCATAATAAAACATCTCATTCGTTCGTTCGTTCGTCGTCGTCGTTTGTAACTTCATTCGATTCCGTTTGATTATGCGCCTCATCTTTGCGCGCAAAGACAAAGACGCGACGCGACGACGAAAAAAAGGTAAATAAATTACGCGAACGCAATGAAACGCCACGAATGCGCCGCTGAGGCGACCTTCGATAATCATATGTCGAAATATATGTTGTTCGACACGACTACCACAAAATAATGCGTTAGCGGAGTCGAGGCGCTTTTTTCGAACGTATATACACACACACCTGCGCGCTCATACGCGAGCTCGTCTTATCGTCGTTCGTGTACAATAATCGTGTATATTAAACGTGCAGCGCGTGTAATATACAGTTCCAGAGCATACCAATAATATTACAACTACCGCCGTATCGAGTCGATAACGTGAAATTCCCTCGTATGGCTCGCGGAGGTGTGCGATATTACCGAGTTATGCGCTGTGAGATATTTTGAAAAAAAAAAAAGAAATTAGAATTGAAATTTTACAACAGGGCCAAAGGTTCGAATTGAACTAATGCGAGTACTTGTTTTTACCGCGCCAACGATTGTGTCTTATATTATACACACACGATCGCAGCAGTAGCAGCAACCACGACGTTTCTTTCATTCTATTTTTTTTTTTTTTTTATAAGCGGCTCTCACTCACACGCGAGAGAGAGAGAGAGAGAAAGAGACGAACGACGATCGTGTTCGTTTCTCGCTCTCGTTCGTGGCGCGCGCGCCTCATATTCGGTGTGTGCAGTAGTAGTATTGAAGCGGACGCGATCGCGCGCAGACACTATTATATTCATATACGCGTGTGTGTGTGTGTGTGTGTGTGTGACGAGATATAAACCCGGTGTGTCGTTTCGAGTATAAATGAAGAATTAGAGGAAGAAGAAGAAGAAGAAGAAAAAATTAATAATAATTACGCCGGTGCACACTTAGAAGAGACTGGGTGTCCGGTGATTCGGATTACCTTGGCGCGTGTGCGCGATTTCGTATCGTCGTGCTATATACATACACGTAAACATGTAAAATGTGTATCGAGTTACCGAGAGCCGATATACGTAAGTGCAGCGCGAGTTTTTAATTATAATTTTAATATTTCGTTATTGAAGTTTGGTGAGCCGTGTTTGCCGCGAATAAAACAACGATATGCATCGCGAAGTCAAGTGCACCCCGGGTTCGAATCGCAGTATCTGGATCATTAGGTTCATTAAATTAGAGTAAAAAGGTTCGCGCGTATTCAATACAATATTGTATTATAACAAATATAATAAAGTAACGAGCGAAGGCACACGTGCCGCTATACATATAGTTCGGCTCAGTTTCAGCTCGCCCACGTGGTACTTGCAATAATAATAATAATAATAATAATAATAATAATCTGCAGTCGTCGTCGTCGTCGTAACGCGTGTGTGTATCAGCGGTATTATATTCTTTTCGCGAGTGTGTGTGTTTATCATATACGATCGGCTATGACAGCACTTATAGTCTCTTTAACTCTGACTTCTGCGCGTATCACTGCCGGATCTGCGCAGAAAATCTCTCTCTCTCTCTCTCAATCATCTCTCGATTAATTCGATTCTATTAGATCGTGTGATGCTGCTGCTGCGGTGTGCTGGTGTGTGCCTGTGTGTGTAGGAGCTATCTATTTCTCTCTTATGTAAAGCATCGACAGTTTTTTCTTCTCGTTTTGCGCGCGACCGATCGTATTCAAAGTAACTTGCGCGCGATCGATCGTTTATAGAATCATAAGAGATAGGAAGAAGTGGATGGAAAAAAAAGTTACGTATTACGCGTCGTCGTCGTTCCTTCCACCGTGTACGATTAGCTAGAGACTAGCCGTACCTATTATTATAACTCGATGACGAGGCTTTCACCGGCTTCTTTTCTCGTATACGAAAAAACCGGGCATAATTATTAACCGAATCCGCCATATATAAAAATTACTCCACCATGCGTTCGCGTCTCTACCCCGATTCATCATTATTTATGGTACAGCCGAGCCGGCTCTTTTGCATTTCGTCAATATCGTTCGGATGCTTTTATTCCTTCGTTACATAAACGGGTCGCACTTTGTATGCGGCGCAGCGGAGACGCGCTATATATAGTATGATACAAGTGTGTGCGAGTATAGGCCTTTGCGGTCTCATTTTCCACCAACTGCGTGCCGTGCAGCTCAAGCAACGACCTCAAGTTCATTTTCGCCATTGTGTGTCTTACCGTATAGCCCGTCGTAGTCGTCGCCACCGGACTCGAGCATCGAGCGCAAAAAATGTTTATCAATTAGATTTTCTCGATTTCTTTTTTGTTTCTCATTCTAATTTTTTTTTCTAAACGTTACGGGTATAAAGCCAAATTTTTTTGAGCGTTGATAGGGGTAAAAAAAAAGAAAAGTTATCATTTTCGCGTACGAGTCAAAATTCCCTTCTCTCTCTCCCCGCGCGATTCCGTTGTTGTATAGAAAGCTCGCTCTCGCGATCGCGGAAGGAAAGCATTATGTATATTATTTCCAGGCACTCGCTCGTGGTGCGCCCGTACTCAGCCGTGCGTGTTACAGAGAGCAAAAGAGAGAGAGATACTTTTGCGCTTGACATAAGCATCAAGTGCACATGTATCGCCGCGTGCACAAGTGTATTAGTATATAGTGACAGAACAGAAAGAGAGAGGCCCGTGAAGCGTGAAATTGTAAATATCTCGATCGTTTTGCACGACGATCATCGGCCACACATCGCTACGTGGGGGGACTTTTGTATATGCGCGAAAAACGAGCAAATTATAAACTTCCATACTTGCCAACGATACAAATGATGGATGTTTTTTTTTCGTACTTACCCCGGTGCGCGAGTTGTCGTCCTTTTATTATACTCTGCTTGTGCGCGATCGAAGACTTTATAATATTATATTTTCTCCGCGAGCGCTGCATTATAACGATACAAATGTGCATTATAATTAAGATCCGATAACGCGTGAGGACGTACTGTTGTTTACTTTATCGGTGTATCGATACACAATTATAATAATTCATCAAAACAAATGCCGCGATCGGCAATCTCGATCATCATCGCTCATTATTAAATTTCGCTTACAATACATAAAATGCATCGAAAAAGAGAGAGAAGGATGACGATTATTTACAATTAATCCGAACGGATGAAGGGAGAATGAAAAATAAAACAATATGCCGAATCGAGTCGAATTAATTACTGATAAGTGATTTAATGTACATAATGCAGTTTTTCAGTATGACAATCGGTATCTCTCGGTCTTTCTCCCATCCACGCGCGCGCGCGCGAAGCTTATTATCTCATGCTCGGTTCAGTATTATAGCTGCTTTGAGCGCTCACGCGCGCGCGAGAGCCAGTGGCATGAGAGAGTGAAAAAGAGCGTGTCCTCTCTCTCTCTCTCGCTCTTTCCATCTCCTATCCGTTTTAATATACACACTCAACGCACAAAACGACGACGAGTCGCAAAGGTCGCGAGCGCTCATCCCTCTCTCTCTCTCTTTTATACCAGAGTGGCCGTTATCTCGACGAAAAATTTTCTACTCAAATCATCGTCGTCACATACATACACATACATCGACACATATACATTTGTATTCGCGCGTGTGCATAATATATAATAATATAAAAGGCAGATCGTGATACACGCTGGCCGCACACATGAGCGTCGTCGTGGCTTGGGCAAGATCGATCGTCGATCGATCGATCGATCGACACACGGACTTCTTCTTTTCGTCAACGTCGTCGTCGTCGTCGTCCGGGACTCGTTCTTCAACTGCCGCCGCCGCCGCCGCTGTGACAACGAATTATACACACGAGAGTGAGCATGGAGCGATCGAAGTCGATCCGGCGGAACTTTATTGTTGAAAGCGTGCCGATTTTACGGGGGTGAATCGAGATACGAAAATTGACATTTTTTTTTCACGATACACAAAAAAGTGCGAGCGAGTGATCCAGTATATATAAAAGAAAAGAAAGGCGATTGTACATAGTTATTATAAACACGTATTATATAAAAAGAAGCTCTTTCGACGAGAAAGAAGAGCCATGGACGGACTCGTTGGACTGTTCCTCGTTTGCGGGGTCATTTACTATTTTCTTGGTAGAAGGTAAATAATCAAAGGTTTTCACTCATTGCTTCTGTTTGTTTGTTTGTTATTGATTTTTTTTTCTTTTGTTCTCCTTTTTTTTTTTGTAACATCGCGAATCTCGTATAGTTCGTTCACTTATCTCGGATATCGATATTTAATTTCATAATAATGATACTTGTGCTCTCGAAGGCAAGTGCCAAATATTATGAGTACTCGAGCATTGTCGAACGAAATTTTTAATGTATCATTATTATCTCTCTCTTGAATCCAAAAAAAGAAGAGAACAAACGCGCAAAAAAACACTCGAGGCTATTTTCGTGACCTGGCTAAAAATCTTGCAAATTCCTGTATATACATGTTTTGTAATTAATGCAACATCATCATTAGAAACCGTGAATTAATCTCTACGAGGGTCTCTTTCGAAATCACGAGTACCCTATACGATACATAACAACATCTTTTTACACGTGTATTAACAATTACCTCGTATTATTTTGATATTCATTTATACATTATTTTTTATCTTCTCATCGAAGAGATAGATACTTATTCACGATTGTATTTTGTTTCACGCGAATGATACTTTAGAGAAAAACGCCAACGCACATTTCCCATTGAATATATAGACTTGTAAATATGTTTTGCAACCGTGTCCGATCAAAGATCCTTCCGCGAAAAACAACGCGGTAATTTTACCAATTAACATGCGACTTATAAAAGGACACAGCGCGCAAAAAATCCTTCGCTCTTTTCTTCTTCGTCCAAAACGACAGAAACACGCTGACGACGATTATTGACCTTGATAGGACATGCAGCGTCGAGTCGAAAAACGTAAAGAAAGTCTCGCGAGCCTAATAAGTGGCCTAAAGGCACGAGCCAGCCTGTGTGCATCGACTGTTGAATGGCATATGAAGCACGCACGCCACCCAAAGGTCAACAACTTTTTTTAACTCTCTCGGCGCGCGAGATCGCGAACGCGAGATGAGATTTTTTTACGTTCAAATAACGCGAACTTCTCTCTATATAAAAATTTTTAAAAAATTTATAAAAAAGGACATTCCACGAATCGATCTTGTGTAGATGCAAAGATCCATGGGAACGAATCCGTCTTCCGCGTCTAACATGTATATGGTCAAATCCCAAAATAAAATGCAGTTTCGTTAACAAAAACAGTTTTTGCATGAAAAGATAACTTTTCGGCGTCTAAAACACAAAAGTGACCCAAAAAAATTACCTATTTTCAAATTTCATGTTCACGCGTTTTATATCACTACTGGAGGTCCTATGAACAATTTGCGGGGGTCCGGGCCGCTGGGCACGCAAAAAAAATTCCACCTTTTTTTTTGTTAACAAAACTGCATTTTATTTTGGGATTTGACCATATATATATCGCATTTATACATTCGATGAATCGAAGACGCAAATTCTCTCATTCTCAGTCATTCGCTCTCTCGCTCTTTACGTTTTCGTCTGCTGCTTCGATTAAACTTTATGCTGCATACGCACTGCGTCTTCAAGTTTTCTCGCGCGTCTTTAGTGCCGCATCATCTCGACTCGCGAGAAGAACGCGTATCTCGCGCCGCAACTCTAGTGCTAATTTTCTCTCTCCCTCTCCCGCTGTTCCTTCTTCTCTTTGTTTCGCGCGAAACGATATAATAGTTCAGTATAACATGGACAATGGGAAAATTCCGAAAGCCGTGCAGGGAACTTTTCGTGAGCTTCGCGAGAGGAAGATACGCCGTCGAGCTGCAACAACGACAACGACTCGGAGATAGTGGTCGACCAACGAAACAGTAAGAGAGCCGGATTCGATATCGATTGAGATGAAAAAGAACAAAAAAAAAAGAAAAATTACTTCATCGCGTGTTTAACACATTAGATATTATATACATAGTAGTAATAAAAAGCAACAAAAAAAGGAAAAAGATTGCACGCGATATTAAATGTCGAACGATGATTGGAAAAAGAAAACAAACGACGAAGATTTTCCGTGCGCGCGTTGGTTACGTACGTTATATCTATAATAGTTGAAACATTCGATGTGCGAAAGTGTATTTGTGTATGTAGACAAAGGAATAAAAATCAGAAATGTTATCGTTTGCTGCTACTGATGCTGGTGCCGCTGCTGTGCGATGATGATGCGTGTTTGACGCATTCGCTACTTCGTTAAATGCACATGATGTATCTTTCGCGCCGCGTATTACATCGTCATCTCTCGATATGATGCCAATGAAAGAGTCTCCCAATTTCACGGCACGACATTATCGTTCTTAGAAATTTTTTTTTTCAATTTGTAGATTTTACCTAGAATTTAAAACTTTTCTCGAATAATGCGATAGAATAAACTTAAAAATGTTTGATAAATATAAATCATAGACCTACAAATACGCCGAATACATATCGTCGCAAATCTTCTTTGAGAGTTCGGTTACAAACCGTGTCCCTGTAGAACGAAACATCAAATGGTACCTAAGCTACCGCCAGATGGAGCGTGCCCGAATTCTCAAAAAGCACAAAAGAAAAAGCATAGTTGTAGGATTAAGTAAGACACAATTTCTCATTTTGAATTTGATTGTATATTGTATACACCCAAAAATCCGAAAACCGACCAATCGCAACTGCGCACAGTTTATTTCGATGACACAATCGAGCAAAATCACTTCTTTTTTTTTGTTAAGAGAGCCACAGAGATAGATGGATAATCTCGAAGTGTCGATCAACCGCGATAAAAAAAATCTTATCATTATCTGGGGAGAGAGAGAGAGAGAGCCCACGATATCTCGATAATACAACTCAGAGCTATTGTGCTGAACGCAAAAGTCGTTGAAACGGGCTTATTTTATCAATCTCGGCATTAAGATGATCTCTCTCTCTCTCTCGATCTTGGGCGATGATTCACCTTCTAGCTCTAAAAAAAAACACACACAATATACGATTCAAAATGCGTTAACCCAGTTGTATAAATTAGACGCGCCGAGACTTGCAAAGTACCCCATGTATTACGACGCGGGTCTAATACGTAATGCGCGACAACCTCCAGAAAATGATTCACTTCGCGGCACAATAGAAAATTTATATATATTTTTGGCTCCTATTTTCCATGATCGATGCGCGCGTCTCTCTTAATAATAGCGCAGCCGCTCGCGCACTCGTTGTTTTTCGCACGCGAAAAGGTCATCGAATGACGATTATTCGAACGCTCGGTATTATTATGTGTACGTACAAGTATAGCCGATAATAGTTGGGGTCACACGCACCAGATTTGCATGTCGTGCGTAAATGCACAATATATCGGTCGGATTATATCGGCATTGTCGCATAATTAATTTTATATATTAATCGCGACGATAAGCCATAACGCAGCAGCAACAGTAGCGATGATCGTGATCCACACCAGTGATTTTTCTTTTTCTTTCTTTATACATACTTTGCGATGCAATTATTATGATTCTGATGCTCTGAGTCAGTTTTGAAATCGAGGCATGCGTTGATAAGACAACGAACGAAAAATTCTCCTTCGTCATAATCGGTATGGCCACTTGAATCTCTCTCTCTTGAGCGCGCGCGCGCGCTTATACATCATTCTTATTATTCTTAATTTCTTGACTCGAGCTCAGCTGCTCATTATCGGCGATCGGAGCGGGGGATTATTGAAAAACGAAAGCAATTAATAGATTCGCGGTTCCGATTTCTCGTTATATATATATATGATGCTGATTCGCGCAAAACACGTATGTATGTGTGTATATAGAAAAAAAAATTATAACGCGATAATCTCTCATCTTATACTCGACGAAGGAGATTATATATTATTATATACATATCATTTATTCGAATTAAAAAAAATGCGAGAAACATGTCGATGTGCCTTTCGTGATAGACACGTGCTCGACACGTGAAGATTTGCACACAGGCACACATGACAACTTTCTTTTTTTTTTCTACTTATATGCTTCAAAATTTAATTTTTTTCTCTTTTTGTGTTACAGAGCCACCGACATGGTGGACGTCATACAGAATCGGTTGACCGAGGTCTACAGCAGCTGGGATGGGAACTCCGAACGGGACAACGCCAATGCCCGGACGCTCTCGACGACAGGTAAATATATACAAAGCAAAAGTGACGATAACAAAAAATTGCCATTCACCTGCACGAGAATAATAAAAGACCGGAAAATCTCTCTCTCTTTCTCTCTCGCGTGCGCGAGTCGTCTACAATAACACAGGAAACTTGACGTATAGCGCGCAGAAGCGTAAAAATAGCTCGTCGTATTACGAGGCGCTTTTCAATTACAAAACTATACCGATCGCTAGCCAAGAATATGAACTTCTTGTTACTTGCAACATGCGAGAGAGATATCGTCGCGTGATCAATTTTCACAATAAACATGAAAACTTAACGTATCGAGAGTTCGCAGCGATAAATGCAGAAATCGGTAAAAGATCGGCGTATAAGCATACCGATTGTCGACTGTATCTAACGATCGGATGGATATTTGTTATTTTTTCATGTCAATTAACAAATTACTTACTTTACCTGTCATCCATCGTCAAATATATATATTTTTTTTGTTTATTTTATCGTTGAAGCCTCGCCGCGAAGATAATGCAAGTAGAGAGAGAGGCGCAATGCAAAAATTATTCAATTAATAACAATGATTTTTCCTCGTTACTTATAGAATTGCGTCGAGCCGGACTGGCGATGAGAAATCGCGCGGCCAAGAGCAAGGAGATCGCCCGCGCCGTCAGGAGCAGCTCGCTCTACCAGATCAAGGAGACGGAGATCACGGTGCCGGACCCGGCCAAGAACTCCAGCTTCGTGTATTACTGCTGCGGCAGGTGCACGCCCCAATCCAGGGTAAGTGTTTTCCGTTCATTATTGCGCGAGTTTTCTGTCTTATCGTCGGTCGATGCGTGAAAATTTTTTGAAAAATTTTTCGCGCCTCCGCACCACCGCATCTAGTCTTTGAGTCTCAGCAGTCTCAGCAGTAGCAGTAGTCGTAGTTGTGCGGTATATACGGGCCGAGCGACGACGTCATAAAATTATAAAAATAAAACACTTGCCATCTCCGTTACCTTGGGGCGCGTGCAGTTTTTTTTAAAAGTCTCTCTCTCTTGCCTCGTGCGTATATGCATCGAGATTTGTACACACCTGTCGAATAATTTTCAGTAACAAAGCAGATTCAACGATCCAGAAATTTATAGAGACACACGTCGAAAAGTGCAAGAATCCAAAGTTGTGCGCGCGTGCATCGTTTTCCACCGACACATTATCGCGCGACGAGTGTATTTATAGAAAGCTCTACCCGCGCGCGCGGAGCTTTTTGCAAATCAACGACACTGCACGCGCAAAGTAGATAGTCGCGCGAGAGAGAGAGAGACAGAGAAAAACACGTGTGTTCGCGATGCTACTGTGTGTCTCTTATTGTAATCGTTGAGAGAAAGGGAAAAAAAAATGGATAACAGTTGTGATTCGCGTGGAAAAATCGTCGTTACGTAAATCGTTATCGATATAGTTATATAGTCGGGAGTGTCTGTGCGAGATTTCGGACCCTTCGCGTGGAAAAATTTATGCGATGCATTCCAACGAAGAGAAATAAAATATTAAAATATATAAATAAAAAAACAACGATATCTACGATCGACGAACATGTACGACGAGACGTCGTCGGGCTCGCTGAAGCGTTGGCTCAGGCGCGTCGTCGTGACGACCAACGGCTACATCGAGAATTGCAATAACGTGATCGTTGTACGCCCAGTGAGTCGTCGTCGTCGTGAAGGCTTTGATCTAATTCTAATTTTTGCTTTTTTTGTTTTTTCAACAGGACTCGCTCGCGGCCCAGGCGGCCAAGCAGAGCCAAAAGAGCAGCATAACGAATCTGCTGATCGCCGATCCGCAGCCGAAGAACATCTGGTCGAAGCTGTTCTCGCACACCTATCACGTGTACAGCTTCAAGAAGTACGACTATCCCAAAGTCACGCGCACCGTAAGTACCCCCAACACGCACACCTCTTTTTCTTCCTACGCAAGTTTCTAATTTTTTTTTATATCATCGTCGCAGGTACTGAACGACGAGCGCATCAAGGATGCCATCAAAGAGACGGCCGTGGAAACGGCCCGCGAGACCGGCTGCAGCGAGGACGAGGCGATGCGCCAGAGCGAGGCCCGCGCCAAGTCCATCCTCGAGCGCATGCAGTCCGGCCTCAGTGACCTCATGCTGCGCTTCACCGCCTGGACCCTCTACAAACTCCTGCCCTGCTTCATCAGATCGGCCGCCATACAGACGCGCCACCTGGACATGCTTCGCCAGGCCAACGACACGCAGATACCCCTGGTCTTCATGCCGCTGCATCGCAGCCATCTCGACTACGTGATGATCAGCTTTCTCACGCTGACCAACGGCATTAGGTCGCCCCTCGTAGCGGCGGGCGACAATCTTCGCATACCGCTGTTCGGCTGGCTCATGAGCGGCCTCGGCGCCTTCTTCATCAAGCGACGCATGGACCCCGTGGCGGGTCGTCGCGATCTCATCTATCGCGCCACCCTCCAGACCTACATAATGGAGTGTCTGCGCGCCGGCCACAATCTCGAGTTCTTCATCGAGGGCGGTAGATCGCGCACCGGCAAACCCTGCCCGCCCAAGGGCGGCATACTCAGCGTCGTCGTGGACGCCTTCATGGACGGCACCATCGAGGACGCCCTCCTCGTGCCCGTCTCCATGAATTACGAGCGCCTCGTGGACGGCAACTTCGTGCGCGAACAGCTGGGTCAGCCCAAGAAGATGGAGACGTTCGGCTCGACGATTCGGGCCATGTGGAACACGCTGCGCGGCAGCTACGGCATCGTCAAGCTCGAGGTCTGCCAGCCGTTCTCGCTGCGCGAGATGGTCAGGTACTTCCAGCTGGCCCAGCAGACCAAGGCCATCTGCAGCCCCGCCGACAGACAGCTGAAGGTGACGGCCTCGTCGTCGTCGCTCTACGGCACCGACTGCGTGAGCGAGGATCTGCGCCTGCTGGTCGACAAGATCGGCCAGCACGTGGTGTACGACTGCTCCAAGTCGACCCCCATCATGTCGACCAACGTCGTTGCCTTTCTGCTACTGAACAAATTCCGCGACGGCTGCAGTATGGTGCAGCTGGTCGAGGCCGTGGACAGTCTCAGGGCCGAGCTGAGGAACGCGCAGCGCGACGTCGCGTTCTGCGGCGAGTCCATCGACATAGTCAATCACGCCCTGGACATCTTGGGCCCGGGCCTGGTCAAGATGGAGCGCCAAGAGGTCACCGACACGGTCAACGGCCGACTTGTGAAGAAACAGGCCGTCGTTCAGGTGCGACCCATCGCCATCCTGCCCAATGTCATCGAGACTGCCTACTACGGCAACACCCTGCTCGTCCACTACTGCATGGACAGCGTGGTGATCACCGCGCTCTACGCCGCTCTGCGCACCCAGATCAACTCGCCGCAGGCCATCGCCGCCAACAATCTCGTGGTGACGCACGAAGAGCTGATGGAGAACGCTCTGGCCATCTGTGATATACTCAAGCACGAGTTCATATTCTGCAGGCCCTGCCAGACCCTGGAGGACTGCATAAATCAGGCGGTGGACCGCGTGAAGGCCGAGGGTATCATCGCGGTGCCGAGCGAGGGCCTGTTGGAGGAGGAGATCTGGAGCCGGAGATTCGCCAAGACCCTGGAGTGCGAGTCCGAGGAGGAGGAGGAATTCAACGCCAAGAAGATACGCTATAAGGTAAGAGTGGTTTTTCTTTGCGATTGATTCGAAGAGCTTCTTGAGAGTTAAAATAACGATTTATTTTCTTAATTGTTTTAGCTTCGTCTGGAAAGCGAATACTCCAACAGGATGGAGTTCCTGCACACGCTGCTGCGACCTCTCATAGACACGTACACCTTCTCGGCCTACAGCTTGAGAAAACTGGTCGGACGATCCATGGCGGAACGCGAGCTAGTGCAAGAAATACTTAGTGAAATCAAATCAAATATAGATACAGGAATTGTCAATTATGGTGAGTGGTCTATTCATAAATATATCGAGATTTTCTCGAGTAGCAGAAGATGCTAAATTTTGGTCATTGTATTTTTGCAGGTGAAAGTTTGTGCGTGGATCCAATTAAGAACTCGCTCAAGCTGTTCGAGAAGAAGAACATTTTGGAGTGTCACGTGCAAGAGAACGCAAAGATTTACTATTTGAAGGATGAATTTGACGACGAAGAGGCGGTCAATCAGATTTACGAGACTCTGGCGACCTTCAAATGGACCAGAAACATTGACTAAAGTGCAACAAAACAAAAAAAAAAAAACAGACAACTTTGTGAATATTCGTTCTTAATGGTTCCTAAAGAAATCCATGAGAAAAATGCTGGACATGAAAAAATAACATATTATAAACTCGTTTATTTCTACTCTCGAGGATCACGCAACGGGAGGATCCGTGTTTTTTTTTTCGTTTGTATAAAGAAAAAAAGGATGATATGTATAGATAAATGCTAACACAAACACACAAAAAACCCCCATCGTAGATTCATAAGTTCAAAGCGAAAATGTATTATTAGTGATCGAGTAGCGTGCATCGAATGCTGTTGTGGGGCATGAAAATATTATATTTTTACGCAATAAATGAGAAAAATAAAAATGCGACAGAGAGATAAAAAAAAAAGTACGGTAAACAGAAAATACATATCGTAGTTTAAATTTAAAAGAATTATATTTTTATGAAAAATAAGATGGAAGGCTTATTTTCGGCCGGGTGCTACGTCATTGATAAAATACTTATAATAATAATTACGCTATTGATATTATACGAGAAAATAAAAATATATTGTATAATTTTTGTTAAGAAATTACGAAAGAAAAAAATGACAATATTATTAAAAACACACACACGAAAGAAAGTGAGAATATACGAATTGATATATTTTTCGAACCTTTGAATGTATTATATATATTAAAAAAGCTCAAAAAGCTCAAAAAAAGAAGGATATATGACACATATATATAAATACAAAGAAGCAAAGATGCGCGTGCGTATGCACACAAAACAAATCGTCGTTGTACATTTAGAGAATAGTTTCATGAAGACATTTCCATAAGATTGATATCGGATAGGCCTTTCTCATCGTCATGCACTTGTGCTCGTCGACGAACTGCGAGTTGCACTTGGCAACGAGCTCGGCGTCGAGATTGTTTTTCGTTACCCGGAGAGACTCGAGCTGGGCCTCGCCGCGCTTGATCAGCTCCTCCGCGTCCTCCGCGTCCTCTTCGTTATTATTACAATTTTTAACGTAGCAATTATCATTACTACTACTACTACTACTGCTACTGGTTTTCATATGTTTTAAGTTTTTTTCAACGTTGATTATTTCATTTTTTATCTGCGTTTTTGTGAGAGAGAGAGGAGAAGAGAAAAAATAGTGATGAATGAATGAATTTTTAGTTCAAAGAAAAAATATAATTGTTTATATAATATATGAGAAAAAAAAATGAAAGAAAAAAGAAAAAATAGAAAACATAAAAAAATTCAAACAAAAAAAAGCGTTGATCCACGTCATTTCTCGTACATCATACCTTGCACACGGAATACATGATCTTGGCCTTGGCCTGCCTGATCTCCTTGACATTGGCCTCGAGCGCCTTGCTGGTCGCGCACCACTTGGTCAGTATGCTCTTGGACGCGCTCTCCATCGTCGTCCTGGCCTTGCGCCGCCACTCCTGGCTCCTCTTCAGCAACTCGTCCGCCTGGGACACCAGACAGGCGAATCTCGTGCGCAGATCCGGCTCCTGGCCCAGCCTCAGAATAGCCGCGTCGGATTTGTCCACCTTGGTGGCCCACTCGAGTCGCTGCAGGAACTGCTCGAGCTCGTACTGCATCGTCTTCGCCTGCAGCAGCTCGTAATCGATCTGATCGAGCAGTTTGCCGATCGTCGTCTGGCGGTCCTCGCAGTTGTGCACCTCGTCGGCCAGCAGCTCGTCCACCTCGTCGTTCCTCAGATCGGCTCCCTGCCTACCGCTGAACCTCAGCCTTATGCAGTTCTGGGCAATGAGCTGGGGCGCCTGCACCACCTGCTCGGCCGCCTGCAGCTGACGCTTCGTGTTCTCCAGCTCGCGACACTCCAGCAGCAGCTGCTCGAGCTTCGACCTCAGACAGCCTATCTTTCCCTGCAGATCGCTCGTCTTTTCGCTCACGAGCCGGGCCGAGGCTTTCGAACTAGCCGCGGCTACGGCTTGGAGCCACTCGTGGTGGGCCTCCAACTCGGCGCTGATCGATTTGCCGCCTCGCAGCTCGCGCTCGACGTCGCTCGCGAAGCCCAAGTGGCCCTCCATGCAGCGGCACTGGCCGCCGTTGCCGCATCGGGAGCAGCAGTAGTGGTAGGGTGGCGGATGGCGGGCCACCTCGACGGGGCCGCTGTCGTGGCCCGTGACGATGCTCGGGAACGACACGGGTTCGGTGCACATGCCGGTCGGCGCGTAGGTCGGTAATTCCCGGCGGCGACATACTATAGGTAGCTGAGGACTGAGGCACGACAACGACGATGATGATGATTTTTTGTAATATTATTTTATTTTGTACGAGGTAAGATAATGAAGGGGGTTACATTGGGTAAGCGTCGACCTCCTCGAATCCTCGGGTCGGTATCCAGAGAGGCTTCTCCCATTCGTCCATTTTCATTTTATTTTATTGTTTTTTTTTAAATCAATTTTATGTTACTTGAATAGATAAAGATTACACTTGGAAATTTTGTTATTTATTGTGGCCGAAATGTCGATGACTTGTTACAGAAGGTTATATTATTTTTGTTTTGTTTCCTTTTTTTTTTTTTTTTGGTAAACAATAGATCGACCATACAGTTGTTGTTTTTTTGACGTCATCCCGCGCAGCGAATCGTCGTCCCCTGATTATCCAGCAAGCACTTGACGATGTTGGCGGCTTTGAAATACCGATCTTTGCCACCTGACATTGCGAATCAAACGACGATTAAATTATTCGAAGAGAAAAATGTATCTGCGTTTTACACTCACGCGCTCGACGACACTTTTGCAGAGCCCTCGCGATCAGCGCCAAGCCCAAAAGCTGATCGCTGTCTTGTTTCTCGTAGAGGTGTTCGAGGACTTTCAGGATGTCAAAATTGAGCCGCACCTTGCCATCTTCGTCCATCTGTGCGTCGTGGTTGTCATTTGATTAATATATAAAAATTCGATAATTTTCACTTAAAAAAATTGTATACCGACGAGACTGGCCTTCTTCAGTAGGCAAACGGCATAAAGATCCATATTGATTTCTCGAACCACTACGTCGGTGTTTTCGTTCTCGGTCGTTCCATCTAGATCAATTGATATTACACATTTTTCAAATTGATTCTTTTAACGTTAGGTCTGTCACTTTTTCATGGAGAGACAGCATTATAAATTAAAAAAATTATGATAAAACTGGTATCAAAATTATTAACTCTCTAGCTGTGATTTTTCACAAAATTGTATAGAACACATTACACACCCCGAATGACTTACTTCCGGCTCGGTTCAAGCAGTCTTTGTCTCGCAGATTCACCGCTAGTCTCGCGCGGCTCACTTTGCCGCAGATGTCTACGACTTTGGCAGCTTCGCCGATTTCCATGACGAACGCGAGCGATAAGTGGAAAGCGACTAGAGCAATGATAGCCGGAATAGAAGTTACTCTTTTCATCTCGTATTCGACACAATTCGATCGCATCCGCGCGAGCTCGAAGTACATCGACTATTGGTCATAGCGCAACGCGATGCTTATGCAGTTGACTGTTTTATTTGAAGGAAAAAAGAAGAATTGAGGACACGATTGATAAAATTGTATATGGTTTATCACAATTGATTTATTCGCAATAATAACAATTAGCACAAGTACATGAGAGCCAAATTATTATAAAAACAAAAAAGAGAAACAATCGTTCGTTGAATTAAATCGAGAAAATACATCGGTGGCGTTATTATTTTTTTTTTTTTTTTCATCATTTTTGTTCTGTTAGCGAAGTTGATTCGATAGGTAGGAATGTAACTCAGTCGAGGACCGGGAAGTCTTTCTTGGTGATGAAGCAGCTGAAGACGTTGCCGCCGGTCTCGCAGGCGTCTTTTCCGACTGCAACACGAGAGAAAGGAAAATAAGTTGATTAATCGTACATAACGTAGAAATTGGAGCGTCGATAACACCGTAGCGTGTAGTTTTTCTCGAGCAAAGAGAAAAAAAAAAGTAAATGAGGAACTCGTCGCTCACCGAGATCTTTGCAGGCGTCGATAACCTTGTTGGCCTTGTCGGGGTCGGCGTTCGTCGTCTTCACTTTGCCGCGGGCAGCCTCGACGTCGATCGCACCGTCGGGCTTCATCTGCGTCACGGAAACAGGAGAAGAAAAAAATCACAATTTCATTCGGTAAAATGCAGTCTAAAACGACGAATATAATATATATCCAAAAAAACTCACGATGCCAATCTTCTTCAGCATACAGGCGGAGAAGCAGTCGATCTTGTCGCCGCGAGTGATCGGGCCACCCTTGACAATGCCGTCAACGACCGCAGCGTCGACTCCGCTCTCCTTGATGCAGGCCTCCTTGAACTCCCGAAGCTTCGCCTTCTGCTCGTCCTTAAGGGTCGACTGCGCGCAACGACACACGAGATTTATGATTCGTAATTATATAATTTTCGGACTCGAGTATAGTAAAATTATAGACTCACGGCAAAAGTGACAGCCAAGCACACAGCCAGAAAAACCAAAGTAGTCTTCATCTTGCGAGACGTTGAGAAGTTGCAGTTTTGAATCGCACAAACTTGTGAACGCTGTTGTCTTGCGAGCGACTGAGCAAAGACCGGCCGATCTCTGCTCCTTTTTATACTCCGAAACAGTAGTTGTCTGTCTGTCTGTCTGTCTGTGTCTATGCAGCTTTTAAAATGCACAATACGCACACACACACACATGCACTCTGCGTATCGATCGTCATTGACACATTATTTTCTCTCTCTCTCTTTCTCTCTCTTCGCTCGTAGTAGTTAGTAGTAGTGTCGATTTATAAAGACAAAAGATTTGCCAAAAGATTTATGTACTGGATTGGCACCTTGGATACACGTATACGTGCATTATGATAATATGTTTCTGGTCACACGTCTCGCGGACACACACACACAGACACGTACACACGCGATATAGTTGAGGCCCTGCGCGCGCTTAAACAGATGGAAAATTACGCTCGGCACGTATCGCGGAAATCGCGACAACGAGGATACTTGGATTTCGCAGCCTCACGTCGATTCGTGCCGTCGTTGCGCGGCCGATTGTAATTTGGAGGTCTACCTCAAAATAATGCTATTATATATATATTATATTGCCAAAATGGCATTGGAGAGACAAGGCGTGTGCACACATCGTGAATTGTGCCGCGAATAGGTAATTTTTTATTCGTCTGGACACAGACACACACACACAGACGCAGAGACAGACACAGACACGTGATTTTCAGGTATTTATACGATTATCGAATAGATTATTGGAATTGATTATTTTTTTATTATAATATTATAAACTAAATGTATTTATATTTGACAATGACTTCAATAGGCCAGAAATGCGTCAGCTGTGCGTTATATCGGCTAAAAATATATATTTATTCATACGATATTAGCGTTTACGATACAAAATGTAATAATTATAATGCCATTGTATCCCAGCGGAGCGTCGGAATTCGAGGGTTCAGTCGGAGAAAAATTTCGCGAGCAGTGCCGACTCCTCGTGGTTGTCGATTTTTCCCGCGTAATCGAACAGACAGTCGAACAATCGGCACGGATCGTCCAGAACTGGAGGAAAAAACGAGAGATGTATAACGAGATATTTGTATGATTTCACGATCAACGAGATATTTACGATTTTTGCAGCTTTTCAGCGCCTTGTTCACGTGATCGATCAGCCTCGTGTCGTTTCCCGAGCCGAAAGTGCTCAGCTCCTTTCTAATCTCGTCCTCGATCGAGTACTAAAATCGGTAATGAAAAAAAATCGTCAAGGGCGAGCATTTGTCGATTAATTTATTTTATTTTTTTCGTTGGACCCTACCAATTGGAGCCTTCTCAGCGCGCAGAACGACAGGCACAGGGTACGATTGAAGTCCTCCTTGCTGCCGTACAGGTGAAGAGCGAAGTCTCGATCGAAGCCGAGCTGCATGCCGCAGGTCTGCATGGCGTCGATGAACTCGTTCAGATTGATTTTTTGAGGATTCAGCTCTCTTCTCACCTACGATGAATGTAAATCAACGTAAAAAAAAGAATAGAAGCATCATCGATATTATTAATTATCGACTCTCGACGAATCTGTTTTTCCTTGTATTTCCCGAAACGAATCTCGAGCGTTGATTTATGTGTCATTTTTTTTTACTCTATTCGCATTGATAACTTCGCGCGCAGAGAACGAGCGAGAACGAGAGACACGCGATTATCAGTTCGCGTCTCGGGTGAACATGAAAACATAATTAAACACGTTCTATTACGATCGGCGTATTATATCGCGCTTATTTCTCGGAGAAAAAATCGTATATATCACGACATTTCTAGTATTTCTAGACCGTGAAAGTCGCGCAACTTTCGTCATTATCTCGCGCGTCGATGCGTTCTATATTTCGCGTCAGGAAAAAGATTCGAATTATGAAGAGAAGAGAGAAAAAAATAAATCGATCTTACCCCTTGTATCGTCATGAGATACGAAGCCAGCGTCACGATCAAAACTCGCCTCGTTTTCAGAAACAAATTGACACTCGCGACCGGGCGCATGATTATTATTATTTGTTTATTACTATTGGTATGTTATTTTGTCGCTGGAAGTCGCGAATACCATATTACACGGTATTATCGAACGCGCGAGCTGCTCGCGCGCAGTACAGTAGGCACTAGATTCTCGAATTGGTGTGACTGAACTCTCGAGCTCGACTTTCTGGCTTCTTCGCGATGTGGCTGATGTGCAAACCACCAGCCAGTTTATATTGTTTATGATTTATCTTATAGACGGGGCTGAGACGAAAAAATTCGAGCGCATTATAATGTATTACATACGTATACTCCCTCGCGGCCGCGCATAATAATTTACATAATAAATTTGCGATAATACGTAATGTGTAACGACGAGATGTGGTGTTCCTCTTTGGTTCAGTTCTATGCGAGCTTTTGAATCCGACTTTATGTCGAATTCGATTCGACCCAGGAAACATAAAATAAGTGTAGGATTAGAAATTAGGTGAAATAATTACTTCTTTCGTTTGTGGTCAATTATTTTTTGGTTTTTATTTTATCTTACAGGCCCTAACAAGCCTTACAAGCGATGTTAATCGATATCTTTCAGATGATTATTTTTTTTTTGGTTAACTCAGAGAATATTTTACGTGCCGATCTGATCTTTATAAGCCTTGCTCCATTTCTAGCACGAGCTTTCGATGAGCAATTATTCGGTGAATATTCATCCAGTCGTAGCTCCATGCACATTGCGAAGTCGCAGAGATTCGGGTAATCTGCAAATTTTCGCGTTTCAGACTTAAAATCGAGAAATCAGTCAATTACTCATTTAGGTTGAACTTACCTTTTCTGCAGCTGTGGTAGGTCACAGTGATAGCTTCCTCGAGGTTAACATCGCCATTTACATAGCCACTGTCATAAAAATCCTTGATGATAAGTGGCATATTCAGCGTGCCGTTATCATAAACCTAGTGTTAGGACGAGAAAGATTAATTTTATTTTCCGATTCATTGATTTCGAAATGTCTTGAGTAAGATGTATAAAAATACGCTTACCGCTCCCTCTAAAAAGAAATCGCAGCCGTTTATACAACACAAAAACCGAAAAAAGTCCGCATCGTATTCAATATCACCTAAAATCGATTTGATTGACGTGAATCGTAATACATTGAAAGTTCAAATGAACAGAGCTAAGCCACTTACTTGAAGCCTGAGCGAATTGTTCGTGCACGCATTCTCGATCATTGTCATCTAACATATCTTCAAATATATTGGCCTGTTACAAAATTGAAAAGTCAACGATGTATCTCAAGCATTTTTATCAATTTACAAAAAGGCCCGAGTCGACCTGGTACTCACCGAAACGGCGACGAAGAGCAAAGCAGCGATGAAGATCAAACCCTTCATAGTGTTTAAAATCGATTTGGCACTTGAATCTCGATGACGATACTACTGTCGACGATAGCTCGCTTTGGCCCATTTTTATACATACGAGCAGAAAAGAATAATAATCATCTCACGTCGCTCGTAATGAAACAAAACAGTCAAAATATTTGTTCAATTATTAGTTAATGATTTTTGCATAGTGTTTGCGCCAGAATAGATTGTGTTCATGAGAGATCGTTGACGGGAAAAAGTAAAAAATAATAATAAAAACAAACGTAAATATGTTTATGAATTTAATTAATTATGAATAAAAAAACGAAGAGAATACGGCTGCAGAGTAATGAACCGATGAATAATCGCTTTTGGGTTCAGAGGCCTACAAATTGATGTTTTTTTACAGAAGTCAGTAGAATTCAGAGTGATCTAATAAAGGATTGCATACCATTTTTACGTATTTTCAACTGATTCTAAGACTTTTTTGCTATTTATATTTTTTCCCCCAAAACTCATTCTTTTTCGACGTGAAAAAGTCACAGATTTCAAGTAAAAAAGAAAATAATTCTCGTATGGTCCTTAAAGCCCAGTAGAATAAAATAAGCAAAGATTGAGAATTGATGTTTTGAATTTATGAGGCAAACAAGAATTCTGTTCAAACAATTTCGACTTGAGAAGATCTTGAAAGCATTTCACCAGTTTGCAAACATCGTCTTAGGCCGTGGAAAAAAAACGTAATCAAAAGAAATTATTAAAACCCACAGTCAATCACGTGCCATTATAGTCACGTATGCCATGATTGTCATGTTTTTGGGCGTGTGTAAATATTTATGATAATTGAGACACACACACACACATTACTGTGCATATTACACTGGTTAATTAAAGATCTCGCCTAATCTCGGTCTGGCTTAAGCTCGTTCTCTCAGACAGTAAATCGTGAGGAGTATCAATTTCACGTAGGTCTTTGCTTATCGACAAGGAAAATTCGGGAGCACTGCATGATATTCAGTTTCACGCTATTGTGATACAATCGAATTGAGCAAATATTCTAAAAAGTTGTCTTTCTTTTTATGGAAGAAAATTGTCATTTAATTTTGAAAATAAAACGCGTTGAATAAAAATTATTTTTTTAATATGTATACATTTATTCGTGTAATAAAATTACTATGATCCACCTTGAAATTTGTTTGAATTCAATTTTTTCGAGGTCGCGGCTCGTAGTCATTGCTATTGGATTAATTTATAGAATTATACAGAAATTTTTATATTTAATGCAACTCTGTAAATGTATGTGTACGAAAATTCGGTGACATTGCCTAATATGTGATACCATTATGGACTCCATCGATGTGTCTTTTGAGAACACTTTTTTGTGAGAATGTCTTTCCGCATATATCGCATGTAGGTACGATACCATTATGCACCTATATCAATGTGGATTTTCAGATAAGACTTTTGTTTGAATTTCTCACCGCATATATTACATGCATGTGCGATTTTATTATGAGCCGATTCAATATGGTTTTTCAACGAAGACTTTCGTGTGAATTTCTTCCCACAAATATCACAGCCATAAGGGATTTTACGATGAACCGAATCGATGTGGAGTTTAAGATTGCTCTTATTAGCGAATTTCTTTCCACATATATCGCATGTAGGTATGATACCATTATGCACCTTATCAATGTGGATTTTTAGAGAAGACTTTTTTTTGAATTTCTCACCGCAAATATCGCATGAATGTGTGATTTTATGATGAGCCGATTCGATGTGGATTTTCAGATAAGACTTTCGTGTGAATTTCTTTCCACAAATATCACATCCATGGGTGATACCATCATGCGCTGATTCGATGTGGATTTTCAGATGATTTTTTTGTTTGAATTTCTGTCCACAAATATCACATGTATGTGCGATTTTATTATAAGCCGATTCGACGTGGATTTTCAGATGACACTTTTGTTTGAATTTCTTTCCGCAAACATCACATGCAAGGCTTTTATCATTATGCACTGTAATGTGTGTTTTAAGGTTATGTTTGTTATTAAACTTTTTTCTAATTTTTTTGATCTTTTTCAGTTTAACAACTTCACAATCGAGATTCAAACTCAATTCTTCTGCAACATTGCCAATATTTTCTTGTTTCACTTCGCCTACGGTTTCTACTTTTATCGTATTTTGAAGTTTATAATCTGTACTAACTTTGATATTCTGAGAGTGATTTGGAGAATAATTCTCAATTTTTCCAACTGTCAATAAATCCACATTAGGCTTGACATCTTCACATTCAACGATTATTTTCACTTCGTCTTCGAGTTCATTTTCAAGTTTAATGCCACATTTTGGAAGAGGATGAGTCTGTTGGAAAAAAAGATGCGTGAAAATTTTTGTAATCAAACCTACTACCGTACTAGTTACATATAATTAACACTTACAGCATTTACTTGTTGTAATGGTAAATGTTGAAAATTATTTAGATCGGGTTTCTCGTCAATCTTTTCGCTATAGTTTTCAATAAGTGCCGCATCACTGGGCTCCTCCTTTACCCTGAAATAACCTCAATGAGATCGGGTATTTTGTAATAATTTTTTTTCATAATTCTTTACTCGAAATAAAGTAAAAAATATTACCTGATGGCGCAATTGAATAAACCAATGGATTCCATCTTGGTAAGTTGGAATTTTATCGATGAAACAATCAATCTTTCTGTGGCGATCGAGCGAACTTCACGAGAAAACTGGCGAATAGTATATGAATCTGTGCTCGTTCTATTGTTTACGTCGGGAATGGAATGCATGACCTTTTCGCGTATTGCTCGACACGAGGTGTTTCTTTGTGCAAGCCATGTTTGCTACATCAAGGATTTCCAAAGCTAGTCGCACATAAAATTCGCATTGGTACAGTTTTTTCAAAATGTAGCGAGCCAAGTTCTTTGCCAATTTTTTCTCGTAGCATTAGATTTAATTTTTTTACGTTACAAATAGTGTTAGAAAATTTTGAAGTTATCAACTAAACAAGTTATAAATAAATTATTACAATCTACAATTATATCATTTAAGAAAACGCATTACGTATCTCATGTAAATTTTTCCTCTTTATTATATATTATTACTGAAATATAAAAATCTAACGAAAAAGGGATTTAAATGCACTGAAAAAGAGTTATTCCTCCTTCCTCAATAAGTCAAAAACCGGGTCGGGTCATTTTTGTATTCATAACGAGATAGCCTAAGCTTACTATTGAATAAATCAATCCTTAGTAAAATTGTTAAGGTGAGTACTTACGATATTTAATTGACCAGGCGTCCGGTTAGCTGTCACTTGTTCCAGAGTTTTTTAATCAACGATTGTATCCAGTCTTGAGCTTGGAGACGAAACATTGTTAATATCCTAGTTGATGCATAAAACGTAAGTGAAAGGATTGTACAGTGACGACAAAATTAGTAACGGGTTGAAATTATTTATTGTTCTTTACAAAATTGAAACTTTTGATTTTATTCAATGTAAGACTGTGTAGTGCTGCTATGTGAGATTTGACGTGATCTTTTCGGCTATATGTTTTATGACAAAGGTCACATTCGAAGGGTTTGCTCTGGTTATGTACTGTATTTACGTGAGTTTTTAAGGTACCTTTTTGTCCAAATGATTTGTGACAAATATCACATACAAAGGGTTTGATACAATTATGTTCTGCATTTATATGTTTTTTGAGATCACTTTCATAGCCGAAGGATTTGTGACAAATCTCGCACTCAAAGGGTTTGCTTCGATCATGGACTGATTTAATATGAATATTGATGTAACTCTTGCTTGAAAATGATTTGTGACAGATCTCACATTCAAAGGGTTTGTTACGATTATGTACTGTATTTGCATGAGTTTTAAGATAACCCTTTTGTCCAAATGATTTGTGACAAATATCACATTCAAAGGGTTTGATACGATCATGTACTGCATTGACGTGAAGTTTGAGGTTTCCTTTTAGTCCAAATGATTTGTGACAAATCTCACATTTAAAGGGTTTGATTCGATCATGTACACTAGTTATGTGCTTTTCCAGGTTTGCTTTTTGTCCAAATGATTTCTGACAAATTTCACATTCAAAGGGTTTGTTACGATTATGTACTGTATTTGTGTGAGTTTTAAGATAACCCTTTTGTCCAAATGATTTGTGACAAATATCACATTCAAAGGGTTTGATACGATCATGTACCGTATTTACGTGAGATTTGAGATTATTTTCTTGTCCAAATGATTTGTGACAAATATCACATTCAAAGGGTTTGATTCGATCATGTACTGCATTGCTTTTTCGACGTAAATTACACTTCCGAGACATTTTGTTTGGAGTTATATTGTCAAGTGTCTGTACCTCCTCGAACTCTTCAAGGTGAAAATTGTCTAGAAATTAATAATTTATATCATAAGCGAATTATATTTTCATCAAAATTATGAGATCTTTACCGTTCGTATCATTAGTCTCTATCGGGTTTTCCATTTTCCCAATAGGTTGATAACTCTGATCTTCAGTTTTGCAGATGGTTGTCGCTAAAACCTCGAGTTCCGGTTTGACGTTTTTGCACTCAAAATCGATGAATATTTTTTTATCTTCCTCTTCTTGCAATACCATAACCTCATTCACATGATTTTCCTGAAATCAATATTGTTCAACTGTCATTTACAGTGAAAAGACAAAATGTAATTCAAATATTATGAACTCACAGATGATTCATGTAACGGAAATGCTTTGAAGTTGTTGACTTCGCGAAAATCCATCGAATCGAAAATATTACCGTCGCCTTCATCGCGCCAAGTATCGCCTGGCTCCTCCTTTACCCTGAAGCATCATTCATTTTTTATGAAGCGATTCGTGAAACGATTGCTTGGCGAAGTATTAGACATTTGACAAAAAAAGGTATACCTCACTATGCTACTTTTGTTATCCATCGCTCGTTGGATGATGATGATTATTTTATTTCACGACATTCACCGAGATGTTATTTGAGAAGTCCTTAAGCACCTTGAGAAGTCAACATCAGTACCTTGATCTCGCCAATTTGTAAACACTTACTCACTGAGGCATAGACTCGGTCGTTAGCTACTGTTGTACTACGCACTACTCTTATGCTACACATGATATTAATAATTAAGAGTGGGTCATTCATCTTATGGGAATAGTTTGTGTACGCTCATTGCGCTGTAAGGTGCTACCATAAATAAAAAAGCTTTTGATTTTATTCAATGTAAGAAATGGAGCTTTTTTGTTAGTTTCTTTTTGATATCTGTCATATTCTTCATTTTTTTCAACGATTAATTCAATTTTTTGTGTAAATAAATAATACATTGGTAAACAGCAAAATTTTGTCAGGGGCACAATAAAAATTGAATTTTGGAATCAGTGATTCGAATAATATAAGACTAGTTTCGATTAAAAAAAGCAGACTTGAATTATAAACTTGTAAGTAAGAAAAATCATGTCTTTGGTTTTTGGTTGTTTTTTTAATGTTCTATTGCACAAAATGACATTTAATTCATTTTATTCAGTGGACTATATTTATCGGTGAATAATTGGTATTTTCTACCTTTCAAGGTCTTATATTCTTCATAATTCTTTCATCATATCTTTTCTGCACTGGTAGTAAGTCTCCGTGAAAACCTAAATAACAGGAAAATAACTGCAGCAATTTCCTTTGCGTAAAGCTTCAGTGATTCTCGAAAAATGAAGCAGAATTAAGCATAGAATTAAGGAAAAGTAAATACTTCTTCGTTTATGGTCGTTTTTTATTTATTTTTTATTTAACAAATATTTTTCACCATCAATTTAACATTTAATTATTTTTTTTGAGTTGATTATTTTTTCGAATATTGGTTGTATATGCTGCGTCCCAAGATGGTCTTGATATTCTTTACTCTATTCTTGACTTTCAATAAGCAATTACTCGTCTCTTCCGTAAAGTACGGATCCAGTCTTTCCTCCATGCACATTTCCCAGTCGCAAATATTGGGGTAATCTGCAAATTTTCGTATTCGAAATGTAAAATCGAGAAAGAAGTAATTATTAATTCATGCGGGCACACGTCGAGCTTACCTCTTCTGCACCCACGGTAAATCTTAGTGAAAACTTCCTCGTAGTTAAAATTACTATTTGGAAATAGATCTTCTTCGAAAATTTCCTTAACGATTGGGAGATTCAGCGTGCCATCATCATTGACCTAATGGTTGGATGTCAAAAAAGTAATCTTATTTTCCGATTCATTCATTTCAAAATGCCTCGAGTAAAATGTATTCAACTATACACTTACCGCTCCATTGCTGAAAAAATTGCAGGCGAAAACACAAGCGAAAACTCGATTGAAATCGGCGGGTGGATAATCTGGAATCGATTTAATCGGTACGAAAGCTTAGTAATGCACGAAAAATATGACGAAAAGAGCGATGGACACTAACCTGTACCGTAATTTGCGTTGAAGCATTCCTCTTTATCTTTATCCGTGTACTCGGCCTGTAACAAAATTGAAAAATCAACTATGTACCTCAAGCATTTTTATCAATTTACAAAAAGGCACTTAGTACTCACCGAAACGGCGACGAAGAGCAAAGCAGCGATGAAGATTAAACCCTTCATGTTGTGCAAAATCGGTTTGGCTCGACGATCAAACGATAATACTGCCATCAAGAGCACGGCTTAACGCATTTTTATAAGCACCAGCCAAATAAAATAATTATCTTACTTAGCTCATAATGAAATACCCACAGTCAAAATATTTGTTCAATCATTAGTTAATGATTTTTTGCATAGTATTTGCGCCTATTGTAAGATCAATGACGTGAATAAGTAAAAAATAATAATAAAAACAAACATAAACATGTTTTTATTGAATTAATTGTGTTTAAACAACCGAAGAGGATGGCTGCAGTAATGAGCTTATGAAAAATCGATGTTTTAAAGTTGATCTTTTTCTTATGGAGATCAGTTGATTTTAGAGTGATGTAAAAAAGTGTTTTATGCGATTTTTAAAATGCTAAAAATTTTTTTTCGTAATTTCAATTGATTCTCAAACTATTTTACTACTTATGTTTTTACCCCAAAAGTCATTTCTTTTAGAGATGAAATAATTGTACACATTTTTAATGAAAAAGAAAATAATTCTTTGAATACACCTTACAGTCCACTAGAATAAAATAAGCAAATGGTCATTTATCATTAGGTACCAGGAAGACCTAAAAAATGTTGTCAAGAATCTGTGACCTGCAGGAGGGATGTTGTTTCCTTGTCGATCAAACTGAATGGAAACTATTTTAGCCAATTACCTTATAATTATTTTGTTAGGAGACGTGTTGTTGACGCAAAAAAAAACAATTGCTACTGTAAAATTGTCTAGTTTACATTATAAAAAATATTTACACATGATTATAAGAGTTATTCCTTGTCGAGTCTTTAATAAAATTTTTTCTGTAATTAAGTTAAATTTTTTGTAATATCGAACACGAAGGGTAAAAAGTTCAAGAGTAAATGTCTAGTTTTGACATGACCGTTGAAAATTACCGAAATTAACCACCTTCACGCGTTCATCGTCAACCTCCAGTAGTATTCGTTCTCTTTTTTGCTATCCGAACGGAACATGAAAATTTTAATCTTCAACCAACTGCACAAACATAGCAAAGTCTAAAATAACGAGTATCATTTTTTTTATACAACTAACGAGAAATATAGTTGTGCTCCGTTAAAGTAATTCCCATGTATAGTTAAATGAACAGATTGAATGAAAAACCTATTAGGTTACTATTCTTAATAAAAAACGGATGTGATTTAGAATATTTTGAATTGATAAGGCAAAAAAAAACGATGTTCAAACAATTTCAATTTGCAAAGATTTTTAAAAAATTTCGCCAGTTTGCAAACGTCGTCTTTGGCTGCGGAAAAAAACAATATCAAAAGAAATTAATAAAACCCACAGTTATGATGCCATTACAGTCACGTATGCCTTGATTATCATGCTTTTGGGCGCGTGTAAATATTTATGATAACTGAGACACACATATTACTGTGCATATTACACTGGTTATTATATATTATTACTGAAAAATGAAAATCTAACGAAAAAGGGATTGTAATGCACTGAGAAAGAGTTCCTCCTTTCTCAATAAGTCAAAAGCCGGATCGGGTCATTTTTGTATTCATAACGAGATAGCCTAAGCTTAATATGGGATAAATCAATTCTTAATAAAATTGTTATGGCGAGTACTTACGACATGTAGTTGACCGGGCATCGGGTTAGCTGTCACTTGTTCCAGATAATTTTTATCAACAATTGTAGTTTTCAATCTTGAGCTTGGAGACGAAACATTGTTAATATTGTAGTTGATGCATGAAACGGAAGTGAAAGGATTGTACAGTAACGACAAAATTAGTAACGGGTTAAAATTATTTATTGTTCCTTACGAAATTGAAAGATCTCATCCTCCTCTTTTCCTAAGATCATGAAATGAATTTATGTGTATTTTCAGCACATTCTGATATCCAAATGATTTGTGACAAATCTCGCACTCGAAGGGTTTGATTCAAATATGTACATCATTTAAGTGTTTTTGGAGAGTACCCTTATAGCTAAATGATTTGCGACAAATGTCACACTCGAAGGGTTTGCTTCTATCATGCATTTTATTTAGTGTTTGTTGAGATTACTTTTAGTTCCAAATGATTCGTGACAAATCTTGCAATCAAAGGGTTTTCTACGATCATGTAATATGTTGATGTGACGATTGACACTTCGTTTTGATCCAAATGATTTGTGACAAATATCACATACAAAGGATTGGCTGCGATGATGTACTTCATTTATGTGTTTGTTAAGATTACTTTTAATTCCAAATGATTTGTGACACATCTCACATTCAAAGGGTTTGCTCCGATGATGCATTGTATTTATGTGAACTTTGAGAACACATTTTTGTGCAAATGATTTATGACAAATCTCACATTCGAAGGGTTTGATCTGATCGTGTACCGTATTTACGTGAGATTTGAGGCTATTTTTCTGTCTAAATGATTTGTGACAAATATCGCATTCGAAAGGCTTTCTACGAAAATGTACTGATTTTATATGTAAATTAAGGGTACCTTTTTGTCCAAATGATTTGTGACAAATCTCGCACTCAAAGGGTTTGCTTCGATCATGGACTGAATTAATATGAATATTGATGTAACTCTTGCTTGAAAATGATTTGTGACAGATCTCACATTCAAAGGGTTTGATTCGATCATGTACACTAGTTATGTGCACTTCGAGGCTTGCTTTTTGTCCAAATGATTTGTGACAAATATCACATTCAAAGGGTTTGATTCGATCATGTACACTAGTTATGTGCTTTTCCAGGTTTGCTTTTTGTCCAAATGATTTATGACAAATTTCACATTCAAAGGGCTTGTTACGATTATGTACTGTATTTGTGTGAGTTTTAAGAGAACTCTTTTGTCCAAATGATTTGTGACAAATATCACATTCAAAGGGTTTGATACGATCATGTACTGCATTGCTTTTTCGACGTAAATTACACTTCCGAGACATTTTGTTTGGAGTTATATTGTCAAGTGTCTGTACCTCCTCGAACTCTTCAAGGTGAAAATTGTCTAGAAATTAATAATTTATATCATAAGCGAATTATAATTTCATCAAAATTATGAGATCTTTACCGTTCGTATCATTAGTCTCTATCGGGTTTTCCATTTTCACAATAGGTTGATAACTCTGATCTTCAGTTTTGCAGATGGTTGTCGCTAAAACCCCAATTTCCGGTTTGACGTTTTTGCACTCAAAATCGATGAATATTTTTTTATCTACCTCTTCTTGGAACACCATAACCTCATTCACATGATTTTCCTGAAATCAATATTTTTCAACTGTTATTTACAAGTAAAAGACAAAAAGTTATTCAAATATTATGAACTCACAGATGATTCATGTAACGGAAATGCTTTGGAGTTGTTGACTTCGCCAAAATCCATTGAATCGAAAATATTACCGTCGCCTTCATCGGGCCAAGTATTGCCTGGCTCCTTCTTTACCCTGAAGCATCATTCATTTTTTATGAAGCGATTCGTGAAACGATTGCTTGGCGAAGTATTAGACATTTGACAAAAAAAGTATACCTCACTATGCTACTTTTGTTATCCATCGCTCGTTGGATGATGATGATTATTTTATTTCACGACATTCACCGAGATGTTATTTGAGAAGTCCTTAAGCACCTTGAGAAGTCAACATCAGTATGCTACTGTTGTACTACGCACTACTAGCTTATATTAGTGAAGAGACTCTACGATTGTGATGGCTCCTTGGCGATACTTTCCCCCTCCACCGTCGACTAGGCATACCCAAAAATTGTACTGCAATGCATAAAGACTATCGCGGCACCAAAATTGCATTAATACAGGGGCACAATTTTCTTAAATAAATGCGGTGTAACACAGAAATACGTCTCGAAACTGACATCGATACAGTGCATGGCATTATACTGTGTTATACATAATATTAAACATGAAGATCAGTATTAGTCATTGTAATTGTAGATAGTAGTAAAATTGCTACGGCAGTCAAATGGAAAATTTTACTAAACTGGTTTGTGCTCGCTCAGTGCGTTGTAAGGTGCGATCATAAATAACAAAACTTGCGACATAATTCAATGTAAGCAATGGAGTTTTTTCGTGAGTTCCTATTCGGTTAAATTTACCTACTGAATATCTGTCAAATTCTGCTTTTTCAACGATCAATTCAAGTTATCGAGTTCAAATAAATAATGCCTAGACAGCAAATGTTAATTAGTAGCTGAATGAAAAGTGATTTTTTAAATCAGTCGCTCAAAAAATAAGAATATTTAGTCCTAGTTAAGAAAAGCAGCCTAGAAATATAAACTTAAAAGTAAGAAAAATCATAATTTCTTGTGTTTTTATTTGTTGTTTTATTTTCTATTGACCATAATGACATCTAATTAATTTTGTTCAGTGGATTATATTTGTCGGTCAATAATTGGTATATTCTGCCTCCCAAGGTCTTATATTCTTCATAATTCTTCGAGGTATTTATATTTTCTAATGGTTTTTCATTTTTTAAGTGAATTTCCAAAGATTCAGTACTTACTGGCGGCAATCTACTGTCCAGGCAGAAAAACCAATCGCAGTGATCTGGATATTCTGAAAATTTTCGCGTTCAAAACGTATAAAATTATGCAGCAAGTATTTCAAATATATGGTCATTTATTAATCATACCTTTTTTGCACTGATAGTAAGTCTCGGTGAAAACCTCGATAACGGGAAAATCGCTGGTCTCGATTTCTTTTTGGTACAGCTTCTCGAGAAATGGTATATTCAGCGTGCCGTTGCGGTAAATCTACGAATAAAATGAGAAAATTAATTTTTTTTTCAATTCATCAAATATGTGACTGTACTTACTGCTCCCTTGAGTGCAAAATCGCAAACAAAGAGGCAAGACATTATCTGTGTCGTGTTGTGGTCGAGTGTCAGATCACCTGAAATCAATTTTTTGATGTGAATAACAACGTAAGAAAAATATGATGCATAGAGCTATAGACACTTACGAGGATCCTTGCCGTAGTTGTCAAGCATGCATTCTAATAAATTTCCTTCTAATTGTATATTTAATCCCGAGTACTTGGCCTGTTACAAAATTAAAAAATCAACGACGAATATCAAGTTTTTTTCTCCATAAAAAAAAAATAAAATAAAACATTGATCGACTGTATACTTACCGAAACGACGGCGAGGAGCAAAGCAGAGGCAAAAATTAAACCCTTCATGTTGTACTATGAACTCGGTTCGTCGCTCGAATCGCAACTGATCGAAATTACTTCGAGAACTAGGCTTAGCGCATTTTCATATGTAAAAATTATCTCGCGTCTCGCGATATGAAATAAGACAGCCACAATATTTGTTCAATTCAATTAATCGATGATTTTTGCATAGTGTTTGCTCCAGATTAGATTGTATCTATGTGAGATCATTAACGTGAATAATTGAAATGAGGATAAAAATAAACTGTTTTTCGAAGGCCTGAAGTTGTTGTTTCTTTTACGGAAGCCGGATTATACATTGCATTGAAAAATGGTTAAGGACTTCTTTATCATTGTTATTTTTCTCTTAAATTAAGTCATTTTTTTTAGATAAAAAATCTCGAAGATTTTAAGTAGGAAAGACAGTGATTATTAAATTCGTTCTTATGGCCCATTAGAATAAACTTATAATAGGGAGCTTGATAAGCAAGAGACCCCAAAAAATATTGGTACGAATCTGAGACGCGCAGGTGTGATGTTTTTTTGCCATCAACGCTGAATGGAAACTTTTTTAGTCAGTAAAGCCGTAATTATTTCGTTGGGTTAATTGGCATACAAAATCTTAAAGCACCTCATCAATTTGCAAACTTTTATCTTTGTCAGTGGAAAAAACAAATGCAAAAAGAATATTAAAACCATCTTTCAAGCACATGTCATTTTATAGTGTCCCACGCCACAACAGTCACGTATGTCTTGATCGTCGCTCTATCACTTTTTTCCAAGCCAGTAAATATTTGAAAAACTTCTTGGGTACAATTGATTAAAAACATGGAAATACGAAAGAAGGAAAGTTTTGGAAAATTAAAACAAAAGCATTAAAAATGAAAATGCTCGAAAAAAGTTTAAGAAAATTTAAATTTCAAGCAAGTCTAAAAGGAAAAGAACACTGAAATAACGCTTTTGGTGTTGCAGTTTCCTCCGTTAGTTAGTGAATTTTACATTTTAGACAAAGAAATAAAATGCCGTTGGTAATTTTTTAAATTTATTTATTTAAATTTTTTGCAATGGAAAATATACAACATTAGATAACGCCAAAGATTGCAAATATGCTTATATCGCCAATCAAGAGCTTGGTTCGGTATCCGCCAAGCAAATATTACGCAAATCTTCGTTCTTCAGATTCTCGATGATTTTTTCACAGCAGAGAACCGGAAACTTGCAGCCTGTCAGGTCCAAGAAAGATTTCGTCGCCCAAGACCGGAAAAATCCTCTCGACACCGCCTCGCACAGATGCATACCGCAAGCCTCGCCGAGCTTTTTGGGCAGTTTACGAAGTATGCAAACGCTCACAATGTAAACCAAGGTGCCGAACGTGTATCGTTTTGTCAGCTCGTCGGGTCGTAACCGGATCAGGTCGTAGAGCGTCTCATTCGGTGGCCCTAAACGTACCTTTTTCGCTTTTTTTATCGCCAGATTTTCGAGATTCGCCGACTTCTCGAACAGTTCGTAGTCGGCGAAGATCTTCATGACCGTCAGGGCGTCGTTTCGGTCCAGCTCGTATCCCCGGTCCTCGAGACACTCGACCACGGCCATGGCGCGACACGCGATTCCCCATTTGAAATTGAGCCTCTTCTCATCTTGGCGCAGCGCTAATTTCTCAGCGAAATCGCTCTCGGTGGGAAAAACGAAGCTGGACAGATCGGCGCCGTTGTCCAACAGTACGTCGACGATTTTCGGCGAGAGCCTCGTCACGGCCCATTGCAGCGGTGTCCGGCCCGACTCGTCCTTCGCGTCGACCCGCAGCCGCAGATCGAGCTCCGCGCAGATCTTGAAGAACGTCTTCGCCACGCTGGGGTAGAAGTGAGTCTTGGCAATGAGGAGCGGAAGATTCAATCCCTCGGCGTTCGGATCGGCGCCGTTCCTCAGCAGCAGCTCGACCATCTGGTAGTGACGGTACTCCAGAGCATAGTGCAACGGCGTTTTGCCCGACTTGTCCCGGGCGTCGACTCGCACCGGCTTGCCCATCTCGTCGCTGATCCGCCAGAACAACTGGCCCAAGCCGTCGAAGCAACGCCTCTTGCAGATCAAGTGCATCGGAGTCGATCCCTCGTCGTTGGCCAGATTCGGATCGGCGCCTATCTCCAGCAACGATCGCACCAAGTCCTTTATATTGTAGGCCAACGACGGTATGGCCAAGTGCAGAGGTGTGTTGCCCCACTTGTCTCGAACGTCGACCAGCTGTCCCGGCCTGCATCTGTCCCCGAGCTCGAACACCATTTCCATGTCCCGCGACCTCCAGTAATTCTTGCCGAGAGCGTGCAGAGCTGTCCTTCCGTCCGCGTTGGCTGCGTTCGGATTGGCGCCGCGATTCATCAACAATTTCGCGATCTCCTCGTGATGATTGGAGACAGCCAAGTACAGCGGGGAATCGCCCGTTTTTCGTACCGGGAGATTGGGATCCACTCGGCCGAGCTCGAGGAATTTCTCGACGACGTCCTGGAAGCCGTACTCGCAGGCCACGTGGAAATGCGTACATCCGAAGTCGTCGCTGTAATTCGCGTCGAATCTGTTGTAGACGTTGAAAAGTTTACCGATGACGGGTACGATCGCGAAGCGTCGATGATTGCTAAGATGGCAGTACCGGTGTCTGAATCGAGCCGCGTGATGCAGCGGTGTGGTACGACGACGCGAAAGTGGCTGCTGCCGCTCGCCATCTCTACCGAGTGATTCGGGCTCGTCCTTGTAACCGGTCTCGTGCACGAAGTCCAGGAATTTGTCGAAACCGGTGGTTCGCACTTCGTCGGGCCTGAACCGTAACATGCGATCTATGTCCAAGTGTTCGTAGTACTCGTTCAGATTCTTCACTTCCTCGACGAGAAGCCAATTGATTTCTTCGGGCCGAAAAACGCCGCGGAGATCCGAAAGTCCGATTGTCCAATCGCTGATCAAGGGATAAAGTCGAGAGAGTAATTCATTTCGTTCTTTTCTAACCTTCCAATTGATGCTTTCACGTAGGCTCTTCAGACTTTCTAATTTTTTTTTATACAATTCAGCGGATTCGTCGGTGGAAGACATGGTCTATATTATCGTTTGGCGCACTCACGCACAATACACAATCGTACTGTAATTGAAAAAATAAATAAATAAATAAATAAATAATAACTTCTTGTGAGAACTACTTGCAGCTGCACGAAGAAAATTCAGAGCACGTGGTGGTCGAAGCTACGATGCTTACGTGTGGGCGTTTTAAAATGTACTGACTATACACAGGCTGCTATCTACGAGCGCTCGCTCGAAGTTGGTGAGAGGTACATTTAGAGCGAGTTACGTACAGAAACCAACGAAAATCATTGATTCAAAGTGTAGAGACCGCTCGTTTGAATACATTCCTCGTGGATCTACAGGGTTTTAAAGTTGGAATTTGATGATTCGAATTTTATTCGGTTTTCCTAGAGTGAAAACATTATTGAAACATGATTTTCAATTTGAAATTTGATGGGGATTTAGAGGTATTATCTAAAATCATATTCGTAATCTTTTTACCCATTAAAAGTCGAAAAATAAATGTGTTTGTCTCTAGCGATTAGGCCAATATTGCAATATGTTCAATGTTTATAGATACATAAAAATACAAAAAAACATGGTTTTTCATTTTCCAATATACTCTTCAAGAGTACATACTTTATTTTCAATTTCATTATTTTTGACTATCACGAATGACATGATATAGCCCATACATAAGTTAGTAACGTAGTAATTATTTTGTTGAAAAAAAGCAAAGTCAATTAATAAATTTAATTTTTTTTTAATTTATTTATTTCAATTATATGGAAAATATTCGAAATTCATTATCACCAAATATGAAAAATACAATAATTATGCCAATCGCCATCATTAGCTTTGCCCTGATGCCGCCAGACAAATGTGAAATAAATCTTCGTTTTTCAAATTTTCCATAATCATTTCGCAAGGGATATGAGGCAGTCTGTAGTGGATCAGCTCCATGAAAGGAGTCATCGCCCAACGCCAGAAAAATCTTCTGGCTATTTTCTCGCACAGATGCGTGCAAAAAGCCTTCTTACAATTGTCGGGGATTCCCCACCAACCAATGGCATCCGCCAATTTTGCACCTTCCTGATGTGTGAATAATTTTGCAGACTCTTCGGGCCGTAACTGGATCAGATCGTAGAGCGACAGGCTCGAATTCACCATTGTCTTCTTCGCCTCTCTTGCGATCTCCTCGTCGTCGCACCAACATTTTTTAAAATCCATCGACCTTTCGAACAATCCGTACTTGGAGAACAATTTCATTATCGTCAGGGCGTCTTTTCGGTTCAGTTCGTATCCTCTATTTTCGAGACGCTCGATAACGGCCAGTAGGCTAGACGCTAGCATCAATTTATTTCCAATTAGCTCGTCTAGATAAAATTCATCGAGGCATTCGTGGAAATTAATCTCGCTTGGGAAAACAAAGCTTGACAAATCGGCCCCGCGATCCAAGAGTAAATCGATAGTACTCGGCTTGAGATAAGTCACGGCTAATTGCAACGGTGTACGACCGAACTTGTCCTCTGCATCGACCTGCACCAGCTGCTTATGTAACTCATCGTTGATTAAGAAAAATAGCTCCGCGTAATCACGGGTATTATTATAGGGCAATCTTCGACATAAGATGTGCAGAGGAGTCGATCCATCCTCGTCGGGCGAGTTCAGATCTGCACCTGGTCTCAGCAGAGTTTCGAGGGAATCGACTTTTCCTTGACAAATTTTCAATTTCTCGCTCGACACTTCGAATCTATGGACATGTTCGACTTTTTCTTCTTTGTTCTCGCGATCGATGGCCTCTTCGGGCGTAGTTTTCAATTTTTTGAAATGGTTCAAGACGTTGCCCATCGTCTCACACACTCGCGTAACACACAATCGCTTATAATTTATATGATATTAACAATTTCAACTTTTGATCACTTGCTACAGTCGATACGATATTTGTAGTTCTCTTTGCTGTGGCGTCGCAATGGGTACTGAATAGATACGTATGGACTGCAATCTGTACGCGTGTACACGATATCGGAGTCGAATGTCAGTTTCAAGCGCGTAAATTCAAACTTCAGCTTGAAATGTTCAAATGCCTTGTTAGTTACGATCGAACGGAAATAGTAAGGGTTCCAATTTGCATTGGAAAAATTTCTAAATGTGTTTAATTCATGATTATAATTGAATTCAACAATGGGCGCGGGCAAAACTCATGTTTATATCGTATATAACTTTTTTTACAAAGCACGCACATCAAAAATAGATATACCACTCGATTCTGCTACTCAAAAACTACTTTTCCCCATGATTTCGTGATGATTCATGGTGAGGCCAATTGGGATATTGGGATTTTGTAAAAAAATCATTAAAAAACTAAAAGTCGAGTTAAATTTTTCTAAAGAGTGTAGAAGGCGCGAGTAACGACGCACACCAGTCAGTGACATTTTTTTCGAAAGTTCACTTTCTGAGGATTGTTTGGTGATGGTTTGGATAAAAAAGCTCGATGGGCCTATCGGGAATTAGAATTTGAAAATTAAAAATAGGATGCGTTGAATTTCAAAACGCATAAAAAACGCTATAAATTGCATTTTTTTCTATGAATTCAAGTTTGGACCCCACTGAAAGTTGTTCTCAAGAAAAGAAAAAGTTGAAAACTGAACGTTAACAATGCGAGGAAAGGTATATTTTAGGTTTACACAAAAATATTGTGCAGTTGACAAGAATATTAAAATTTCGTGAGATTTACTCATATATGTTTATTTACTATTAAATTGATTTTTTAATATTAATTATAATTATGATTCGTTATTAGATCGGTTGGAATTAATAAGTGTACAATTAACAAACGTACAATTGACCAAAGTACAATCATTAAAAGTATTAGGAGTATTGTCGTAAAATTTCCTATGAGATTTACTCCTAATAATGATTGTATTAAATTTGAACTATCATATACCGGCTATAGCCTAATCAAATCTGCTTTTTCTTCGAATTTCCGACAAATTTCATTTTCATCGTCAGAGTCTTCGCTACTTATTATAAACAAGATTGATTATCCGAACTAAAACCTCTAATAACAATATACGGTTGCTAGGTGACAAAGCTGCGCGCAGTGAAAAAAAAGCGAAATAACTTGTTGCTAAAAGTACAACTTTTGCCATCGAAATCGATGGCGAAACCGAGTACTTTCGACCAGGGGATCAAGAAAAATATATTTTTTCTAGTTTTTTCCAATTACGCTATGACATACGATTTACGCGCAGAGTATTTTCATCCCGCAATGCTTTATGTATCGCTCACCAGATGGCTCGGCCGCTTTGAATCGCGACCTACAAGCGAAGCATGGGTCAGCGTGTACTTAAAGGGGAGCGAAAGCAGCCTCGAGCATACTTACCTGGCGCAGAGGCTACCGTGATCACCAAGGCGGTTCCTCCAGGGCGAGACCCTCTCATTGCACTACGATTGGGTTGACCCTTGCGAATATCCCTAATGCGGATATCTCGGGCGTATAATTTTTGTTAGCCGGGACTGCGTTCGCGCTATCCCGATTGATCAATCCAAAAATAATTTCTCGCCTCGAGCAACTGTTAGCATCGCATCGATGTCAGCTGAATGTAGCTCGGAGATGATGCGGTGCGAATGTCGATCGAGTGTAATTGAAGTCAATCAACTTTAATGTTCTCTAGCACAGTCGAACTAGAAAACTAAACGTTTTGATTATATGAAATAACAAATTTTTCAGATTGTGGCGTGGTTATGTTAAAATGATTTTGTCTAATGCTAAATATAGTAGGGTTTGTATGGTAGGTTTCGTAGGGCTTATAAAGATTATGTTTTTTTTTTTTTACCAAAATCTATGAAAAGCCAGCAAAAGCGTTTGTGCACAGCGACTCATCATTTTATTTATGAGACGATATTATTTTTATAATACTTTATAGTAAAAATAAATTAGATTGAATGCTTTCTTCCCCCATGAAACCAGCTATCATAAATTTTACTCCTACAATTTCTGTAGCACAAAATTGAAGACCAGTTGTAGGGTAAACTCAGTTAATGACCGAATCGTTTTTCAGCGTTAGAAAAAGTAGAAAAATAAATGTTGGCGTTTAAAAAAAAAAAAACTAAATAGATCATTGCGTTGCTAATTAAATGTTAAAAATATAGGAAAACTATTTTAGCATCGTTAATGTTATTAATATAGATAATTTATCGAATGCTGTTTTTTCGTTACAAGTCCAAAAGCCTTTAAATTTTTCACTACCGCAAACAGCGCTCCAACCCGTTTATGAGGCATCAGTGAAGATTTAAAATTTCAAATTAAAATTTCTAATAAACCGAAAACTTGACTAAATGTTAAATTTCCACCATTCTAAATCGCGTATATTGCAATGTGAAATATACTTTCGTAGTTTCCATTGCTTATTTTTAATGCGTTCGTTTTATCCCTTTCAACATTTTTCGTTTACATTGCACTGTACTGTACGCCCGGAATATCAGATATAAGCAATTCTTGAAATTGAGCTAAGTCTCTAATTTTATAAACGTTTTCATAATTGAGTGGCTTCAGCTTCTCTAATGTACGTAACTTTTTCTCCTGCGTCAATTCAAGCGTAAATCGAAAAGTATCAAATATGAAACCTAAAAATTTGCATCTACGCGATGGTACAAGAGAGCACTTTTCGTATTTAATTATAAATCTTAAAAATTTAAGAACACTCATCGCATAAGAAATATTTTCCAAACATTCATCACGGTCAGATCCATACAACAAAACGTCGTCTAAGTACACGCTTGATCTGTAACCTTTTGATCTTAAAAATGAAAATACTGTCTTCATCAACTTACATTGATAAAAATTAGTGGATTTAGACATAAACTAAAGGTAAAGATGCAAACTGATATAATTTCCCGTCAAATTCAAATCGAACATACTTCCTACTTTTACGTGACAATCGAACAGTCAAAAAAGCGTTTTCTAAGTCTATAGTTCCCAAAAAATCATCGTGATTCAAAATTGTACAAGCAGATTTCATATCTTCCATCTTAAAATGATTTGGTACTATAAACTTATTTAATTCAACAAGATTTAAAATAAATCTATACGAGCTATCTGGTTTTTTACGTAAAAAGTACGACGAAATAAATTCATTCGGCTCGTGACTACACAATTCAACAGCCCCGATGTTCAACAATTTTTGTACTGCTTCGGATACATTTTTATGCTCGCATGGCGTGTGAACACAGCACACCTTCCTGGCCTGATCATATAATGACAGAAGCATCAATAACTCTGATATACGCCTTGCATCGAGTACAAGATCACCAGATTGTTTGACAACATATGTCTCATCTCTTGTGTGAGATGCGTTGCATACTAAATTCGCATTATCATTGCTCGTAATTTGAGTATCCTTTTTAACCGTCTCGTCTTGATCGGTACGATTTTCCAAAAAATTCGGTATTGGTGTGTAACGAGACTCGGCGCTCGAAGAATGTGATTCGATTGAATCAAGACCGCCTATATGCGAATCTCTGACGTGACTTGCACTCCGACTATCACGTCGATCGTGCTGAATGCGTCGATCCAACTGCGAGGATAACCTCGTCAACTGCGCCGTTGACTCCGACTACGAGTGCGCTCGCGATGACTGCGTTAACGACTCCGGCTGCGAGTACGACCGCGATAAGATCGACAAGACTCCGATCTTCGAGAGTACCGACTCCTTTGACGTCGAGAATCCCTATCTTCGTCGCTATAACTCAGTGAATTAGTGTCGCTGGAAATTTCACTACTCCCATAGTAGCTTCGACTACGAGATCTGCCTGTACGTCCCCTTCGGTTTCCTCCAGACATTTTTATTTTAAAGTAGATATCTAAACGTTACCTATGACGCATTTAAAACGAAAGTATTTTGCATTAAATTTTTTATGCAACTCGTACCCGAGCACGTGCAAATAACTAATTTTTTTCATTGTATAATGACATTACTCTCATACTAACTTTTTACTTTCATTTCATATAAAATGAAATTTACCTGATGGTACAGTTGAATAAAAAACTGGAGTCCATATTTTTCATAGAATCTCTTGAAATTTTAACCACATATTAATACTATTGGCAATGCTTTCGATATATGAGAGAAATTTTAGGAACCACAGCGATACCCGTTTTCGAAATATAATTACTTTAACATGGGATCTCTCTGATAGAGAGTCACAAAGACGTTAATTTGCGAGATTTAATAAAAAACGCATCCAAAGAATCTTTTGGATTTTACTGGAAACACCCGCTAATACAATTTTTGAGAAAAGTTGATTCAAAGATGCCAATTTTACTGTATTTTACAAAGTAAGTTTTGAAACGTGACTACTGACTAAGCGGGAGAAAGGGGGGGGGGGGGGGNNNNGGGGGGGGGGGGGGGAGGGTGTACCCTGGGTTAACATCGATTCTGTCCGATGGAACGGCGGAATTTCCCCTATGCTTAAACACGTTCCACCATTCGGTTGGACCATAGACAGAAACGATATTAACCCAGTGTACAGTCAACAGCGTCGCGATCAAACTTTTGAAAGTCCAGCGTAGTATGGGGGCGTTGCCTTAAATGTGTTTACTGTGCGCTATTGTCGCGCGATGAGGCCTCCGATTACACTACGGGACCTTTCACTTTCGAGTCGTCTCTGTGCATAGCTCGTGTAGCTTCGACCATGTGTTTTTTAATTTCTGTATAGAGATCGCAGTACGCGTTTCGACCTCGTGGTGTAAGCAGCACAACTGTCTCATTAATTTTGAAAGAAAAAAATAATATATTTTTTAAATAATCGGTGTTTGTGTATCGTGTGCTACAACGTTCAAAATAGTATAATGTCTTCGTCAAGTGGCAAATCCGACGAACAACGCGCGGAGCATCCAAAATTAGACGAATTGAAGAGGTTACGTAAAATCTACTTCTTGAAGGCGAAAAGCCATAGATACCTATTTCTCGATGAATTAAAAACATTAATAAGAGATTGGACGGAACGACTTCCAAATCTGCGTGACATCTTTACAAGGCAAGAGATAGATTGGCTTCTCGAAGTGAGCATCGATCGGTTTGACCGGCGTCGAGAAATAGTTGATTTCTTCATTCGTTGCGGCTACAAAGACGAGCCCGATTTGGACGAGAACGGTAAGCCACTGTTGCGTCGCACCACGCCAGTACATCAGGTAGATAAATGCAATGACGAGTTCACTTCGAGAACTGCAGCGTTGCAACGTCTTTTTAAAATTTACGACAAATTTGACGTAAATTATATCGACGAGTCGGGCTACACTCATTTCCACATGGCCTGCAAGTATGGACTGGCCGACGTTGCGGAGAAGTTCCTCGAGCTCGGCCAGGATCCCAATTGCCTCGTATCGAAAACGGGTGATTCAACACTACACTTGGCTCTCGCCTCCCGTCACAAGGAAGTCGCCGTATTATTGTTGAAACACGGCGCCGATCCGAATCTGGCCAACGAGAAAGGAGAGACTCCTTTGCATATTATTTGCGAGAGAAGCTGCGTCGATGGATTGGCCAAGTTATTCTTCGAAATTCTGGACGAAAGGCAGCAGAGAATACAGATCGATGCCCAAGACAAATCGGGCAACACACCGTTGCACTTGGCTACTTGGTACAGAAACGCGAAGGTGGTCGAGTTGCTGCTAAGACGTGGCTCCGATCCGAATTCGGTCAACCATGAAGGAGAGACACCTTTGCATATTATAGCCCAAAAAGACGGTTTATGTGAAATAGTAGGGCTATTTTTCCAAATCAACGACGAATTGAATCAGCTGGTACAGGTCAACGCCCGTGACAAGTCGGGTAATACACCGCTACACTTAGTACCGAAAATCCAGAAAGAATTAGTCGATTTGATGCTGAGGAGAGGCGCCGATCTGACTCTAGTCAACGAAAAAGGAGAGACTCCTCTGCACATGATTGCCAAGCACGCCCGCGGAGTGGATCTATTTTTCAATGTAATCAAAGACATGAAGCAGACGGTGCAGATCGACACCCGGGACAATTCGGGTCGAACAGCGCTGGAATGGGCCGTGGCGAGTTGCTGTCCGCTGGGCGTCGAGAGTCTTCTGGAACATGGCGCCGACGTGTCCGGATTCGTTTTTCCGACCGCGACAGACTTTGACCAGTACGGGAAAATCTATCAATTTTTTTTTCCTGTCGGGAGTTATTGTTCTGTAATTAAACTAGCCGTGGCGACTGGTCTGCTGGCCATCGTCGAACTGCTCGAGACAAATGTAGGTCAGGAACTGGACCTCGATGACACCCTAAAGGTCATGGGATTTTTCAACAAGTACGAATTGTATGAAAGTGCGAATTTTTCGACCACTAAGGATGTCGACGATTTGGTCGATTCAATATTAAAAGAGATACCGAAAAAATCCACGTATATGGATTACTTCAAGTTCGCGAGCTCGTACACGCTAAAACTCCACTACAAGTCTAAGGATGCTTGTGATTTGCGTCTATGCGAAAAAGTAACGAGGAAATTTTTTCGCGAATGGGCCCTGGATTGTTTTATGGCATTGATACACTATCGGCTGCCAATTCTCTGTTGTGACATGATTATAGATCAGCTAACGAACAAAGATTTGTACAATATTTGCTTGGCGGCTAAAAGTCAAACTGATGAGCAAGATAAAACAAATGTAATAGTAAATTTAATAAAACGTAACAACGAAAGACCCGTTGGAGGTGAAAAAGCTCCAAAAGGGCTAAAAATTGAATGTTAATATGATAATATAAAATGTAAAAGGAGTGAAAAAGATGATGATTTATGTAGGATATTTGCTTGGCGGCTACGGGTCAAAACTGGTGATGATGACAATAATCATATTTGGAATAATTTTTTTTATGTATCCTTTTTTTATGTTTATTTATGTATCTTCAATGAATAAAAAAATACATTTAATAAAAAGAGTTTCCATTTGTCCATTAAGAGCCAACAGAAGGCTTAATTATTTTTCATTTTTCAATTACAGTACTAGGCTGTAAAAGTGAAAAAAAATGTTTTTTTCAAGAACGCACATTTCAGTTTTTCGCTCCCTAGGCATGTAATCTACTATTATAGCTAATTAGCTAATGCGTAGCGACAAAGTTGCGATTTTTAGGTTAAAGTGCAATATAAAGAAAAGAGCATAAATAATTTTCTTTCTTATTTTATTCAAAAATATTTATTATTCATTCATAAATCGGTGTTACATATTTGAAACTCAGTTATATGTATTTGTGTGAAGTTGCTTTACTTCTTGGGCTATAGGGTAATTTATACCGTATCAATTTTGAGTCAAATCTGCTAGTAAAGCGGACATTCCAGCAGGATTATCGGCAGGAACCTGTTAAAATAAGAGCTGTACAATACACTTGTAAACTTCCGATTAAGTACATTACAATAATAGGTGAAATCATGCTCTCAACATTGAAAAGTATTCATAATTCTCAAATTAAGATAACGGAAATACCCTTCACTTTTTTGAATCCAAATCATTACAGTGTATTTTTCAGAAATAATATATATGAAATAAATAGTGATCGAATTCAATTTCGATTATTCGTATTTTCACAAAAAAGCCTTTACAAAGAAATTTATAAAAGTAATTATTTGCTAAAAATTATTTGTAAAAGCTTTAAAAAAATTAATTCTTGGTTGAGAAATTTTAATTAAGTTGCTTTTCAACTTTTTTTTAACGATTACCTAACATAGTGTATATTTTTGATTTTTCGCGTAAAACTTTTTTGCATTATTATGATGATACTTATAAGATGAATGCTGGTATAGCACTAAAACTACGATGATTATAATATGTTCATAATATTATGTTGAAAATATACTTCACGTATTTTTCACCCGTTATTTCACTGGTTTTCAACTGATAAAAATTTAAATATAAGTTTTTAGGCACTTATCTGATGTCTAACGATAAACTGCCGTCTAACGTTAAACTTTTTTCTTTCAGTGATACACTAATACGAAAAAATTAAAAATTAACGAAAAACGATTACGGCATTGAGAAGCATAGATATAAATTTAATTTCAATGTATTGGTTAATGGAAAAGTATGAAAAATAGTAACTGAAATTTTTTCAGAAATCAAAAATTGGTCAATAGTTCAATCTGAATTGAATTTCAGATTCAACAACATCAGATAAGTACCGATCAGCAAAAGTAGCTCCGAAATAACTCAGAATTGAGAAGAATTAATGCGACATTTTTTGTTCGTGGTTGATTTTTTTTTATTTTTTATTTTTTAATATAGGTAATGACATCTAATTTATCTTCCTCAGTGAACTATATTCGTTAACCAATATTGTGGATGTTAAGCCTCCCCAAGTTTTCATATTCTTTATCGGTGGTGGTGGTGGCATTCTTTTTTCGAAGCATAATTCCCAGTCGCAGCGATCGGGGTAATCTGCAAATCATCGTTTTCAAAACATGTAAAATCGTGCAGCGAGTATAACAAATTTGTCATATCAATCTTACCTTTTCTGCATTGATAGTAAGTTTCAGTAAAAACCTCCACAAAGGGATAATTCGTATTTTCAATTTTCTTTTCCTCGAGAAGCTGCACATTCAACGAGCCATCATCGTAAATCTATCGATAAGTTGAGAAAAATTATTTTATTTTTCGACTCATTAGTTCCAAAATCGCTTGAAGATTGAAAAACTTTAAGAAAAACTCACCAATCCAGCGACTTCCATCTCGCAAGCGTAATAACAAGACATTATCTGTGTCTGGTTGTGATCGAGGGACATATCACCTGAAATTAATTAATTCGATATATGATAGCTTAGTAATGCACGAAAAATACAATAGAAACAGATAGTTACGTGGATCTTTGCCGTAGTTGTCGATGATGCATCCCAACAGTTTTATTTTTATTTCTGTATCTGATAATGGGATTTTCCTTGCTGAAACGGCTAGGAAGAGCAAAACATAAATGAAGATTAAACTCTTCATACTGTATAAAATCGATTTGTCACTTGAATGATGATTGAACGCTATTACTGGTGATGAGTGCTTGGCTTAGCTTATTTTTATACGTAAAAAAAATCTCACATCGCTCGTAATGAAATAATACAGCCAAAATATTTGTTCAATTCAATTAATCAACGATTTTTACATGGTGATTGCACCAGATTAGATTGTGTTCATGACAGATCATTGACCCGAACAAGTAAAAAATTATAATAAAAAACAAACGTGAAATACTTTAATTGCATTAAACAAAAGAGAATGACTGTGGAAAAATCTTATGAGTACTCTTCGACATCGAGTCAATTTAGAAAAATCCGTGTATGTTTTGAGGTAATCGTGTTTTTTTCCCGCTTACTCGAGCTTAATTTTTCGATTATTTAAGCTTTTTCAATTGCGCCGATTCATCCGCGTTGGTCAGATTCGCATCGGCGCCGTGTCTCGGCAGCAACTCCGCCACCTCCAGCGTTTTGGCCGAGTGCAGCGGCGAGTCGCGCCGCCATCGAACTCCGTGCGATTGGGATCCACCGGGCCGAGCTCGAGAAATTTTTTTACCACCTCTATCACGCAACCGGCCGAGCAGGCCGCTCGAAAATGCGTAAGCGCGTACTCGTCGTGGTCGACGTAATTGTTCGAGTACACTTTGAAAAACTCGCGCACTACCGCACGTGCCACTCGTCTCGAAAGCTCCAGGACGCACTGCGCGCGACTATAGATACGTCAGCGGCTCGTCGCAGCCGTCCACCAGGAAATCGACGACGAGCGCGACGCGTCTGACGTTGGGTCGCTCGCTGCACTCGCACTCCGCCGAGCGCCAGACGAGGTCCTCGATCTCCTCGGGCCGAAGAACGTCGTCACGGAGATTAGGGAGTAGGCCCTGCCAGTGTCTGATTAATTCGCAAAAATCGTTACAAAAATGCCTGCGTTCCGGCTCGTTATGCCGGTCCCAATTTTTTTGCAGCGTCTGGAACGTCGTTAATTGTTGAGACATTTTTCTACGCACCGTACATTGCCGTTTATAATTTTTAATTTAAAAAAAATTTTTTTTTAATTTTTTTAAACACAAAAATCGCTTGCTGCGCGATAGAGATACGAACTGTTTATGCTGCGGCGTCGCAACGTGTACTGACTTTGCTCATCACGTGTGTACGATCTGTATTAGAACGTAAAAAACATGTGGAGAAGTGAGAAGATAAAGCGAAAATTCATCGTATTAGAGGCCAACACCTGTGTATGCCGTAAACGTCTATAATAATAATAATAACAATAATAATAATAATGCATAGGCATAGGCGTAGGCATCGCCCGTACACCTGAGTAAAAAATAAATAAACTGTCATGTGTCCTAGCTCTTTACAAGTACTTTACAGATATATGAATTATGATAGGTTTCATTTATTTATCATTCATTATTAACCCATTGTTTTCAACAAGTAACAAATCTAAAAAATCATTTCCCATTTGCAAACGTTATTAATATTGTTCGTGAAAAAAAACAGGAATATTAAAACCCACATTATCGTCACGTATGCCATGATTATCATGTTTTTGGGTACTTCTAAATATTTATGATAGTCAAGTTACACATAAAACATTGGTTAATTAAAGATCTCGTCTAATCTCGGTCTGAGTTTAGCTCGTTTTATCTCAGGGTGTAGCTGTTGTTATAGTATATTACATGCTTTTTTACAGGTCCCGAAAATAGCAATATTCCGTTTATCGCAGCGTCGGGAAAATGCTACTTTCGGGCCACTGGTATGTAAAGGATATAAACACAAAATCGGCGCAGCCGTCCTTGATCATCTGTACAAGGAAAATTGCGAAAAAACTGGAGCGCTGCTTGCTATTGAAGTTTACACCATTCCGCTATCACTTGAATTCCAAAATAATGAAAAAAACATACTATACTGAAAATTTGCATTTTTTCCTGTGGTAAAAAATTTTAATTTAATTCTGCACATAATATGTATTGCATAAATATCAAACACTGATGCTACTATTTTGTATACATAAATTGATTTATGTAACAAAAATGTCATGATCCAGATTACAATTTGTTTGAATTCAATTTTCACGATCACCGTGATCGGATTATTTGTATCATATTAATTTATATACGATTAAAGAGAAATATTTTATAAAGTTCGTAATGATACTCCATAGTTGTATGTGAATTAAAAAATGCCATAGACTCACTGAAGTCTTGTGTGGGATGGACATTTTTAAATGAATCTTTTGAACATGTACATTCGATTTTATACATATAACAATTTATAATGCGTGAGTGATGCACCGAATCAATGTGGGCTTCAAGACGCATCTCGAGTTTACTTTCCGCATGAATTGTATGTCTAGTTGATGGCTTTGTGCACTGCATCTATGTAGCATTTGAGGTGCATGAGTGGGTGATACCCCCATGAGCTGTATTGATATGATCTTTGAGATGTCTCATTCTTAAGTATTTCTTTCCGCATATAGTACACGTATGTTTGATGTCATTATGTACCGATTGAATGTGGACTTTAAGATAATTTTTTTGAGTAAATGACTTTCTGCAAGTATTGCATGTATGAGTGATACCATTATGGACTCCACCGATGTGGTTTTTGAGATAACTCTTTGATGAAAAATTCTTCCTGCATATTTCACATGCATGTCTGATTTTATCATGGGCCGATTCAATGTGGATTTTCAGATAATACTTTCGTTTGAATTTCTCACCGCATTTATTGCATGTATGTGCGATTTTATTATGAACAGATTTAATGTGGATTTTCAGAGAAGACTTTTGGGTGAATTTCTTTCCACAAATATCACATCCATGGGTGATACCATCATGCGCTGATTCGAAGTGGATTTTCAGATGACACTTTTGTTTGAATTTCTTTCCACAAATATCACATCCATGAGTTATTTTGTTGTGCACTGAATCGAAGTGGAGTTTAAGATGCTTTTTTTGTGTGAATTTCTCTCCGCATATATTACATGTATAAGTGACTCCATTATGCATCACATCGATGTGGACTTTAAGCTTCCTTTTTGTTGTGAATTTCTTTCCGCATACATCACATCCATAGGTGATACCATCATGCGTTGATTTGATATGGATTTTCAGGTAAGATTTATGTTTGAATTTCTTTTTGCATATATCGCATGTATGTATGATTTTATTATGAGCCAATTCAATGTGGATTTTAAGATAATTTTTTTGAGTAAATAACTTTCCGCAAGTATTGCATGTATGGGTGATTTTATTATGCACCGAATCTATGTGTTTTTTGAGATGACTCTTTATTGAAAAATTCTTCCTGCATATTTCACATGCATGTCTGATTTTATCATGCGCCGATTCAATGTGGATTTTCAGAAAAAACTTTTGTGTGAATTCTTTCCCACAAATATCACATCCATGAGTGATTTTGTTGTGCACTGAATCGATGTGTCGTTTAAGATTGCTCTTATTAGCGAATTTCTTTTCGCATATTTTACATGGGGTTGTAATTTTAAGAATCGTACCGGTGTGCGTTTTGAGGTTATTTTCGTTGCTCAACTTTTTTGTAAATCTATCTTTTTTATTTTGTTTGACAAGTTCACAGTCGAGAGTCGGATTCGATTCTTCTGCACCGTCACCAACGAATTCTTGTTTCACTTTACCCACTGTTTCGAATTTAATTATTTTTTGAATTTCATTACCATTAATATTTACATTTCGCAAGTGATTTTCAGAATTATCGCCAAATTTTTCATCTTTAAGTGAATAAATGTTGGGCTTGACGTCTTCACATTCGGCAACTATTTCCACTTCTTCTCCAAGTTCATTATCATGATTTACGTCACATATTCGAGGGATATTAGTCTGTTGAAAAATTAAATAAACATGAAAATTTTCATAACAAAAACTATTACCGTAGCAGTTATATGTAATAGGGCTGTGCGAGTATCTGAGTCGAGTCGGGAAAAATCGAGTATTCGAGTTTTTTCGAATACTTGATTTTTTTTCGAGTACTCAAGTTTTTTCGGGTACTCGAATTTTTTCGAGTAATCGATTTTTTTCGAGTGCTCGCAATGTATTTAAATTTTAAGTAAATAAATGGTAAATCAACAGTCTCTAGTCCCCTCTCGTTGTGTGCGTATGCTTATAAGTGTGATATTCGCAGCGGCTATAGAATTGGAAGAAGAAAATAATTTAATAGTACCACACCTCATCACACTTATGAGCATGTACACACAAAGAGAGGGGTCTAGAGACTGTTCATTCATCATGTATTTACTTAAAACTTAAATATATTGCGAGTATTCGAAAAAAAGTCGATTACTCGACAAAAACGCGAGTACCCGAAAAAACTCGAGTACTCAAAAAATCGAGTACTCGACTCGAACTCGACGAGTCGAGTTTTTTCGAGTACTTGCACAGCCCTAATATGTAATAAACACTTACAGCATTTACCTGCGGAAATTGTGAATGTTGAAAGTTTTTCAGATCGGGTTTCTCGTCAAACATTTCGTCATCATTTTCAATAAGCGACGCATCAGTGGGTTCCTCCTTCACCCTGAAATAACCTCAATAAAATCAAGAATTTTCTAATAATTATTTTTATAATTTCATTCTTAAAAAATGAAGATTACCCGACAGTAGTGTTAAATAATCCGCTGGATTCCATTTTTGTCACTTTGAATTTCGATAAAACAATTTTAATCTTTACTGTGTGGACGAGTGATTTACACGAGAAAATGGGCGAAGAGCACGTGAATCTGTGCTCGTTCTATTGTATTTACATCATTCCCTTCCAGTTTCGTAGCACGAGGTGTTGTGTGCTGCGCTGCAGAGGTCGAGCACGTGAGCTTCGCAATTACTTACAGACACGGTTTTTCAAAGTATAGGGGGAACACAACTCAGTATTTCAGTGCATGGCTTGACTTTAATTTAAAAATATTTCAACATCCGTCAATATCAGCAGCAGCAGTTGAAAGCTTGTTTGTATCTGCTTCAAGAAAACGAAAAGTTGCTGTCTGCATATTTGCTGAACACCGGAAATGCGTGAAAGAACCGCGAATTTCTTTGAGCTAGCACCAATATGCATTAAATGCGCTCCTCCAATAAATAGCGACTCTGCGATCTGCTATCGATTGCGTTAAATAAAAAATGGATTTGATGAAGCTTTTTTAAACTAGCTGACGATTATTGCTTTATTTTGATACTGCACCATTAAATGCTTATTTCTTACAATTCTATGTAATTGCACAAATGTACAAATCTAAGAGTAAACACAATTCGTCAAGTACCAGTTTTTATTTCTCGAATTAGAATATAACGTAAGAATAATAAAAAGGCAATGAAGTATTTGATGGCAATTATACGGAAACAAGATTTTGATTTTTTCAGTGCCCGAGTAACTTTTAAACTCTGCAAACAAGAATTCTTTTTAATATCGCTATGGTTAAAAATGAGGATCTTCAGTTTCTCGAATCGATAATTTTTCTTATTTTTTCCAACTCATCGGCATATTCGCATGTATATATACGTACAAGGCGTAAATGTATATAGACACTCGCGTACGAACGGTAAAATTGCATTGAGCATTTGAATTATTGACAGAAGCTGACTCGGCGCATGCGGAATTCATACAACAAGGCAAAATATCGCGAATATCATATTTATTATACATACGAATGCGCTTTTGCTTATTATACCTTTGACGATAAATTTCGCGATGCTTCTTTTTAAAAGGGGCCACTTGTATATAATATATGAGCAATTCTTTTTAAAAAACGCATTTTTGGCGGTATAATCGTGGTAATTTTTTTTTACCCTATGCGGATGCGGGAAATGTTTGTAGGATTAATTTTGATGGGAAAAGTATTTTTTCTGATGCACTTGAAATTTAGAGTCAATGAATTGATCGATTGATGTTAATAATTTTACTCTTGAAATAAATAAGATTTTACGAGTATAGATAATTTTAGGTAACATAAAAAAGATGTAAATAGAAAAATTTTAATTACGAAAATGGTAAAGCTAAAATTTCATGAAACTATTAAGATACATCTCATGGAAATTATGAACAATATTATTGGATTACTTTGGATAAAATTTAAATTCTTATCATCACATTAGCTTGGGGATCATTTCATTGATAAAAGAACAATAAAGACATTAAGTCATTGGGTCATTTCAAATTTCATAGGCTATTCCAATTAACTTCTCTCAGCTTTGTGCTAACAAAGCTTCATTTGTCAAATTGCACAGGAAGTTCCAGAGTTCCTCTCTCATGTACGAACAATGTAGACCTTTTGTTTTTTAGGCTCTTATGATCATTTTACAAATAAGTTTTAGTATGATTTTGACAAAAATTGTATTCCTTCTTTTCAGGAATTTTTCAGAAAATCAGAAAATCAGAAATCCTCTCTTAAAATAATGATGACCCTAAAAGTGAAGCCAATCTATTCGGCCTCTAATTGGTCGACTGACTTGTGACTCCAGTCGGAACATAATAAAGTGACATCTACGGTCAAAATAGCAACTTTTTCGAAACTGACTGAAAAATGTACCCACGCGAAGCGTGCCTGAAAGTTACTAGTATGTTAAAATGTACATAAGTAACGAGTAAAATTACTTTATTTATTTTGCTTTAATGAAACTATCAGTGACTTTGATATTTAATTTTGAAAATTTCTCAGAATATTGTTTTTCATATAAACTACATTAAAGAAGCCATTACTGTCATATAAGAAACCGCAGTATTGACAAGCTGGATTTAAAAAAGTTTGATTTAAAATTAAGCTTTTAATTCTTAACCATTGATTACATACTTACACCGTTGAAATTTTCATAATTCATATTTAAAAGCGGCGAAGGACCTGATGTTAATTCACAAGGTTTTAATGCTCTCATCATGATTATTTGTATCAATGATCTTGTTTTTAATGGAAAATGATACCATCCACTAGAATAACTGGAATTTCAATTCTATGAAAAAAACTTCGATTTTTTGATAAATAAAATTAGTAGTTATATAGGGTATTTTTACCTGTATTCAAAAATATCACTGCTTATATCATTCAATAACTGCCCAAAATGACTTATAACGAATGCAAGAAGAATTATGCATGTGAATGATAAACTCATTTCGACTAATAAAAATACATGTTTATTTTTCCAAGCGTACAATACCTAAAAAAATTCATTTTGACATGAAAAAAGTCACCGAAATGCAGTTTATTAATCGAACTTACCATAGTTCCAGTAAAACTCAAACCACAGAAAATGTTACCTGTTACGATAATCAAAACTTTTCGAGCAAAAGTTTGCACTGTTTTAAAATACCTACAATTGTATCAGATAATTATAATAACAATCGCATTATAAAAATTATTGTATACTTTTGAATATCAATCGAATTTTAAAAAAGCTTAATTTTGGCATTCATAATGCACTCAACTCTATTGCTCCATTGTGTTGTTCAGCAATATCTTTAACTTCATTATGAATATAATGATCTGACGATCCACCAAATGAAAAACAATTACTCGAGACCAAATTGTGCAGTTTCTTCATTCGATGGCTTAAAATTATAAATATTTAAGTATAAATTGAAATTCTAATGTAAATGGGTCATTCTTCTACTTTTATAAAAAAAAGTGTGCTTGGCGATATTTTAACAAAATTTGAAAAAAATATGTTATCAAATAACATGAAAAAATATTTCTTCCTCAGATTTTAGTAAAAAAAAAAATTTTGGAGGTGCCTAGCGAAAAAAAATGCTGAAAAATTCTACAAGAGGGAGTTTTGACTCGTTTGAGACATAGTTAGAATCATTTTTTTCGTCTCAAAGAGTACTTTTTTGAAAAAAATGGACCTCAAGTTTTTCGTCGAAAGCCACATCTCTACCGTAGTTCAAATAAATAGCTAATTTTTTTGGATTTTCAGTAATATACAGCGGCTCTATAGCAGTCATGTTCAAAGTAAACAAAAACCTCGAATAGGCAAATTAAACCCATTTTTGAGAACTTTAATTTTCTTATTTTACTCCCCTTGTAGAATTTTTCAAAAATCTCCAAAAAGCAGCGAAAAATAATACGTTTTTCGACACTCCTGTTTTGCAAGGCACCTCCAAACATTTTTTTTAAAGAAATTTAAGAAAAAGTCTTTTCATGTCCTTTAATAACATATATTTTTTTCAGATTTTTTTGAAATATCACCGCGTACACTTTTTCAAAAAAGTAGAAGAATGACCTAAAAATATTATTAAGTATAATTCAAAATTAAAACCGACTCACCTAATTAAATAAAATCTTACAAGATTAACATTTATGAAAACTGTAGTAGCTGCAAATAGCGAGCACACAATTGTTCCGAACATTGCCATGATGAAGATTGTGTAAATGAACCATAATTGAAAATATTGTTCACGTCTCGGTAATTCACTAGTTGTACATAACTGTTGAGTCCAGTTTAAACCAGGATATATTCGATTAGCTATTGGTGCCAAAGTTGCAGGAATAATAGCAAATCCTACATATGAAAGCATAATAAAAACTGGGGAGAAAAATTGAAAGGTTTGAGAAATCTTTCAATTTTAGCTAATATTTTGATGTATTAATTTTTTATACAATATTGCCATACTTCTTAAAAATATGATTATTTTTCGATGTTTTAAGCTAACGCCAATTAAAATTTGTTTCTCTTCAGGTACAGTTACACTGTTCCAATAATCCACTGAATCGGTGTTAAATTTTTTAATCTTATGGATAAGAATTAAAATCTTTAGTTGTTTCATAGTTTGTTAATAAAGTTTTGAAAATTTTACAATACCTTTGTTTCCATGGTAATAAATATTAAAAATATGCTCGAAATAGTTATCAAGAAACAGCATTCAAATACATTTTGGACAGCCATAGCCCAATCAATGGGTTTTTTAAAAGATTTATGAATTACAGTTGATAACTATAAAATAATAATGCATATTATTGATGATTCAACATCTAATTGACTGAAAATTTATCAGAACGAAAGTTTCACAAAATTCTTATGTTACCGATAAATATATCACATGAACCATGTTAAGAACTAGAAATGTTCTTCCAATCATCTGGATTTTTCGATTTTGATGAGGCCATATAAAGCAACATTGATAATAAATTTTACTTGATGCAAAGTACATCCTATCTAATTGTTCGTCATTAAGTATTTCTATCTTGGTTGTTTTTATATTAGTTTCCATAGTAAATTTTGTATTTTTTAATTCTCCTTTTTATTATTATTGAAAAGTTTTGCGGTGAAATGTACCATTAACTTCGTGATTTCCGCAGTTTTTTTCTAGAATACAATGAATCTTTTGTAATGAACAAGAAAAGTGTATTTTGAATTGAATGTTTAAAATTTAATCTATATCTATTAATAGTATAACCACGTTTTTTGTGCGAATTGTAAACTAAATCTATTATTCAAACATGTAGTAGGGCTTTAGTTGGCAAGAATGGATCTTCAAATAAATTTGTTTTTTTCCGTAAGCTAACATATTATACAGCTTGAGCTATGACTCGATTATAATTTTCGGGTTAAACTCGACTAAAATTCTATTCAATGTACAACCAAATTGAAAGCATGGATGAAACTTAATACACCTCTTTAAATTTAGGGAATAGAAGAGGTGAAAAAAGAAGTGCACGGTACAGTATTTTAAAGAGGAAACTTTAATTGAATTGAATTGAATTTATTTGATTCGGACCTCGGCGTAGATCCCCATGTGGCCCTCATGGCAATATGTATAC